GGTGTGATTGGACGTAAGGAGGGCAGTGTTGAGCTTGGGCAAGGTGTGATTGGACGTAAGGAGGGCAGTGTTGAGCTTGGGCAAGGTGTGATTGGATGTAAGGAGGTGGAACTGCACTTGGGCAAGGTGTGATTGGACATAAGGAGGTGGAACTGGCATCTGCCAGGCTCTGTTTACATTTAAAGCCTGAGCTCGGCCTTTACAAGTTCCCAAAACTCCCATAGCCTGAGCCCAGGCTGTGGACGGTGAAACCGTCAGCATTAGCCTACTATTGTCTTAAGTGAGAAAAAAGAAAAGGAGACAATGTTATATAACCCATTTTTATTTTGCTAACCACAGGAAAGAAATGCCAGCACCAACAACAAAAAAGTCATCTAAATTTTGGCATGAAATTAAAATATTAGACGATTGACATTAGACAGCTGGCATGGGCTTATGTGCATAAAATAGCTAAAATAATTACATCCATGCAGTCAAATCCTAACTTTGGTTTAATTTGTGTAGTTTGGCTTGGGCAATATTTAATTTTTCGCAGCATCATACTGTCCATACGTTATATTGTGGCATGAGGTATTTTTATGGTAATTTCCAAAGCGATGTTGGATGAATGAGTGTTATTCTGGTATCACGGAGGGAGGGGTCCCCACAGTAAAAATTGCCGGCGAAATCCAAGCCAGAGTTTCCACAGACTCTTCCTTTCAAAGTCTTTGGAATTTACTGTATTGCCACATTCTTCTTCTGATTCACATATTATTTCACTAGATTGCTTGCTGGTTGGTTAGTTTCAACCGATCTAGCTAGCTCAATTAATTTATGGAAGTCTGCCCCTAGTGGCAGATCCCATATTACTGATTAAGCGAGTAAGGCCATTAGGCAAAACAATACTGGAGATATCTTCAAAAATTGGAACAAGGATTTTTGTCATTGAATATGTAAATATTTAAAAAATTTTAATTCTATTTGAATAGGCCTGGTACGTAACAGGGTTGTTGGGGGGTTCTGTGCTCCTGGTGTACATTATTCTCTTTTTTTCTTACAGATTCGATCTGATGAGCAAGAGAATGATACGATTATATACTCCTTGGAAGGAGTAGGGGCTGACAGGAACCCTGTTGGTTTATTCACTGTGAATCCGGCAAGCGGCGATGTCCAAGTCACAGAGATTTTGGATAGAGAAAAAGCATCGGTATACTATGTAAGTTCGCTTTTTAGTGTGTACTGCCTGCATATGAGTGTACAGTCTGGAGATCGGTGCTTTTATGGATTCTTTTTGCGTTCCAGCTCTTGGGAGTCGCAAAGTTCCGAAATGGGGCGAAAGCAGAGAAAGACATTGAATTGCGTTTCATAGTAGCAGACCAAAACGACTGTGCTCCACGATTTATTTTCTCCCCAAATGGAGAAATCTATGAATCAAGCCCTGAAGGTCTGTTACTGAGTTATCTGTACTTTATACTGTGAATTTGGTTCAAGGCTAAATACATTCCTGAACTAAAATGTACGCTTAATGTATAAAAAGTTGTATTATTTTGTTTGGTAACATTTTTGGACAAGCACTTCTGTGTATGAAGTGTTCATCCATCCAACTCATCCATCTCATCCATGCATCATCCGTTCTAGCCACGTATATCTTGAACGTGACGGCGACAGATGATGACGATCCAGATACGCTGAATTCAAAGATTTCGTACAGCATCATTCAGCAAAACCCGGGCGGGAATAGCATGTTCTACATCAAAGCGGCCAGTGGCCAGATTTACGTTCGATTACCCACCCTTGACAGAGAAGTATGTCTGCAAGCGGTCCACTTTCCTGGTGCTCTGTGCACCTACTTGCAGGCCCTTTTGAACGTTGCCTTTGATTCCCAGTATGATTTACTTTCACTTTTGCTTTTGAGTTTTGACACGTTGTGTGAAACTCTGAAGCCTGTCATTGGTAACCATGCAAACAAATGACTACACCGTTGTTGTCGTCCTTTAATTTCGTGTTTTTGTTTCCTTATACAGACAACGGACTCTTACAGATTAGTGATAAAAGCCACAGATTTGGACGGGGACGCGGGAGGAAATACTGCAACCGCCAGCATTGTGATTAAGATCCTTGACATCAATGATAACGTGCCAACGCTGGAGAAGGAGTCTGTAAGATAGATTCATTCAATTCGTCTGTAAGAAGCAGTTTCGTTTATGGGTGTGACTGTTCCATCGGCGTAATTTCGGTTTCAGCTGGGGAAACAAAATTTGTTTTGAAATAGTTTGTTATTAAAACTGCAAACAATTAGGTACAGTTGTAAAGGATGCTTATTTGCACATAGTAAAAATAAACATGTAAAATACATCAAAATTGAAAACTTAGACTGCATCATAACAAACATATTGAACTAAATTCCATGTTCTCAACTATCGAGTATGGTCGCATATCGATAGCAATAAGCACCCTTAGTCTTAGTTATTTTTTATAGTCCGTCTGAAGTTCCTGGTGCTTTGAATGCTACGGGGAGACTAACTTGCAAAAGCTGTTTCTGCCTTGCTCTTGGGAACAGATGGGCTGCAGAACAGTAGAACAGTCGGATGATGGCGTCTCAAATGAATTAATATGTTGGATGTGTTTCCAGCAACGTATCCAAGTTCGATATCACAGAGCCAACAGACAGCCTTAGTCTGATCAACAACTCTCTCTCTGGTGTTGGTTTAATTTTATGTGAAACCAAAGTGTTCCCAGACTACTGATATGGGAGGGTAACTAGCACTCACCATAACTAGCTCAGCCATAATCAGCATTTGTTTTCCATATTGAACATCGACTTGTGTGTTTACGTCAAGAAATGTACTCATTCATTCGGAAATCATGTTACCGAATGGCACACGACAAATGTTACAGCCCTAGTCTTGGTCTAATGTAGCTTGCATCCGAGATAGTCAATATTGCCATTTTGACATTCCAGTATGAAGGGAGTGTGGAGGAGAACCTGGCCAATGTGGAAGTGATTAGGATCAAAGCTTTGGATAAAGATCAGGTCAACACTGACAACTGGCTCGCAGTTTTCACTATAGAGTCAGGGAATGAAGCGGAATACTTTAACATCACGACTGATCCGAAAACCAACGAGGGGATTTTAATAGTCAAAAAGGTATGGATCTGTACAATTGACCTAAAAATAAAAACATGAAATAGCAACTTCTCGTTAATCTTGTTCTGATTATATTTGGGTTGGATAATTTTTGATCATTTTAATAATTTTTTTTCTAAGCCACTTGATTATGAAGAATTAAAAGAGCTGGACCTTAAGATCTCGGTGTCAAACAAAGCTGAGTACCACGTCTCCACATCGGTGCTGAAAAAAACATACCCCATCAAGGTCAAGGTGAAGAATGTACCAGAGGGTCCCATATTTAAGCCCAGATTGAAGGTTTTTAACGTCTCAGAGGGCACTGAAACCCACATCCACACTGTGATAGCGAAATACCCGGCCATCGATGGAGATACGTTTGAAATAGCTAAAGATGTCCGGTTAGTAGCATAGTCGTGTTTCGTTATGCACGCATGGTACAAGCAACCTCCTTACTCATCATTTTAAAATGTTAACATATTGTCTTTGAGCCGTCTGTTACATTTTTAAACTTGTTTTCTTGTAAATTCCCAACTCAGGTATATCAAAGGAAAGGACCCGGACAACTGGCTGATTATTAATGAAAAAACCGCCGAGATCAAACTTAACAAACTGCCCGACCGAGAGTCTGTGTTCTTGAAAAACGGGACATACTACGCAGAAATCATATGCATGACAACAACTGGTGCGTGTCATTCTGCTGCTAAACGCACGAGGAAGCAGATCTGGCACGAAATTAAAACTCCGTTAGACTAATTGAACTTCATTTCGGTTGAGCTGTTGTTATTTTTGTCATCAATGTATTAAAAACAGACAATATTTTGTTGGAACTACCTGAAATAAACGAAGAATCTGAAATGCTTGTGTCCCCTACTAGGTTCGCACTTCCAAAGTAGCACTGGGACCATAGCCCTGATGGTGGAGGACACCAACGACCACTGTCCAGTCCTGGTCAAAATGCCTCAGACGATGTGCACGGACCACAACGTCATTTACGTCACGGCTATGGACAATGACCTTGAGCCCAATGGCCCACCTTTTGTGTTTACAATAGTTCCCGGCAGCACCAAGGAGGCTCTGATGGTGGAACAGATCAACGGTGAGGACGGTTCTGTTGACGTGTTTGGCGTTCGCTTGTTAGATGAGGGATGGGCTGTTGAAGGAAGATGATTGACATAAAGCTTGCAGAGATTTGTATTTACTATTATTATTATTATTATTATTCTTTTATGAACAGATCTGTGTGTGCTTGCCATTACAAGTTCCATGAGTATCTAAAAGCGCTATATGGTTTCCAAAGCGTCTGACCATATAGGTCGCACAAACTCATAGCCTAGCTTGCATGAACTGTATGGACAAGCTCCTTGGCGGTACAGGAAACCCATGGCGTTTCTCGTGCAGATACCACAGTTGTCCTCCGGGCCACGAAGTCCCTGTGGCCGGGCACCTACCAGGTGGCACTGGAGGTCCGGGACCAGCAGGGGAAGGCTTGCAGCCAAGCCCAGGTTGTGAACTTCCAGGTGTGCACATGTGCTAAAGATGGCATATGTGCCAGCACACGGGAAATGTCCTCCGCTGCGTTCGGGCCGTCGGCCGTCGCCCTTTTCCTCCTGGGGTTGCTTTTACTTCTACGTGAGTAACGGAACATCCAGTAGCTGTTTGCTTGCAGGATGGTTTCTCGTGGTTAGCGCCTGGCTAACGGCTAAGTCATTCTTCACCATAAAAACACTCTGTTTTTGCATATTCATCCGCTTCAGTTTTCTTGATTGTTCAGACTCCGAAGTGTGATGCTTGATAGGGAAATGTCGTCAGTGTGGTTGAAGCCATCTCTGATGTGCCCGCAGTCGTCCCTCTCCTGCTGCTCTTCTGTGCCTGCAGCTCGAAGGGCCACTTTCTCGACATTCCCTTCGACAGTTCGGCACCCCTGAGCCTGGGAAACACGGAAAAAATTGGGGAGGATAAAGTAAGTGGTCTTCCGTGCCTGTTATGTTGTGAGCATGTTTGGTGAGGTTTGGTATTGTGTTGAAATAGCTTTCGGTCAGCAACGTTCTGGTTTGGGCAGCATTTCCTTAGGCAACTATAAGTGATGTGGAAAAAAATGTTTTGAGTAACAGAACAGAGATAAGTTTACAGAGATAAATTACTGATATTGCTAGTGCTTAAATAGCCTGAAAGACTGCAGTTTTCTCTTTGGGTTCAAATACTCCCACATACTCTTTGAACTCCATGCAGTCCTCCTTGCCTCTAGGTGGCGCCATTTGTTTTGTGCCTATTTGTATTTATCAATGCCTTGGTAATGTGTCCTCTGTTCCCTCTATAGGTGGTCCCACTTCTGCAACAGACTATAGAGATTGACCACCCTCTGGGTGCAATAAAGAAACAAACAGTGACAGGTTTAGGGGCGGGGTTTTCGGGGATGTACGGTACTGGGTATGTTGGGGGGTTTGGGATGGGGTCAAGCCATGGAATGGCGATGAGCACGAAAAACTACAACCATCTTCAAGCAGAAAGGCTAAGCAGAGAAGAGTATTGGAGACATAATCTTGGAAATAGGTCTCAGGTCTCGGTGGGCATGGCAGAAGATGCCTTCCAAGGGATAGCGCTGTCTGAAGAATTTCTGGAAGACTACTACAGCCAGGTACGTGACCATAAAAGCGGCTTTAACCTTACAGTGGGGGGGTGTATGTCTCTGTGGGGTGGGTGTTTATGTCTGCGTCTGGCAGTTCGCCAGTTTAAATCCCGTGGCCGGCAGAGTTATCATACCCACCCATCATCAGGACTCTTAACCGCAAAAGCTGTCCCTGGATGCTGGATAAATGGCCGACCCTGTACTCTGACCGCAAGCTTCTCTCTCACCTGTGTATGCACGCGTCCCACAGACACAGACGAGTACAATGATTGAATTTTGTGCTACTTGCTACCTGTACCATATCAATAAAGGATTCCATTTTGTAGATCTCCGCTGTCTTTCTGTATCACAGACCAGTGCCGCGTCGTGTAGTTTAGGGGAAAATGACTTCCCGCAAATCCATTTTCAGTCATTGTGTAACACTGTAGAATGAAATTCATTCGAGTTGCAGGAGTTTCTGTAACCAGCATCTTTCTATTATGTATGGATACTTATTGAAGTAAAATTGATACTGTTACCGAGGCGACTGGAACAGTGAACCAAGGAGATTTAAGTAAATCCAGGCAGGCTGCAGCTCCAGATCAGCAGTATGCTGCAGAATTGTATATTGAAAAGTAAAAAGCAGAAATTCAAATATGTGGCATTTCATGTCTGCGGCATTAATGTGTGTCTGTGTTTTTTTTCTTTTCCTTTTATAGAGAGCAAGTATCGCCCCCGTGGAATCGGACCCCCATATTGATGCTCTGCTGCTTTATGATTATGAAGGGGGTGGGTCCCCCGCAGGCTCTGTGGGCTGCTGCAGCATCCTGGAAGCGGACAATGACCTGGAATTCCTGAACCACCTGGACTCGAAGTTCAAGACCCTGGCTGACATCTGCACAGGCAAGAGCATCGAGGTGGAGGGGCCAGCGCCCCACCCAAAGCCTGCCCCCCGCCGAAGCCCCGCCCCCAGCCCCGCCCCCAGCCTCACGATGGCTCATAAAGGATTCGCCACGGCGGCAGCTGGGACAGAAGCTAGGATGACTGGGAGCCTCCACATGTCCAGCTCGTCCTCGTCCGCCGCGCTGGAGGAGCAGGTGGTGTCCGCCGCAGCTGCGGTGCAGCAACACGGCGCCGCCCAGCAGACCATGGTGCTGCCGACGCCCGCCTACATCCTCCAGCCGCAACCGGTGTACATAGCCACCGCGCCCAGGTTGCAGACTGCTCACTACTTGGTGGACCAGGAGGCAGCGTTGCAGGGCATGCAGGGCATGCAGGGCATGTACATGCTGAGCGACACCGTCAAGCCCAGCGGGCTCCTGGCGGGCCCATTGGCACACGACACTCTTAGCAAGTCTGGCAAAGTGGTGATCCTGGAGCAGGGGGTGAGGCCCGGTCAGGCGTCTCAGATAAACCTCGTCCCCGCCGGGACGGCCGCGGCCCAGAAGGTCCTGGTGGTGGAGAGCAGGCAGGGGGGTGCGGCACAGGACAACGGGGGCCTGCTGGCCAGAAGTGGCACCAGGCAGGAGGTGGTCTTCCCCGGTGATGCAAGCCTGCTGTTATCCGAAGGCAAGTCGTTCCTGCTGGAAGCCCGGCAAGGGTCGCCTCTACTGGGAAACGAGGCCGTAGAGTCTCAGGGCGCCCTGAGCGCTTTGAACCAGACGAGTTCTCACAAGCTGGTCGTCCAGGAAAAGGTCTCCGTCACTGAGAGAAGCGTCCATGGGTGACCCAGGTGACTCGCCTGTCCCTAACAATGGAACAGACACATCTTAAAGAGTTTGAACGTCCACAGGGTCATGCCCCAGACCTCCAGTCCACATCACCTGACTTCTGAACTGAGACACCGAATAATCACGGGAGACTTCAGTCTTCCTCAAAGTTGGCGTCAGTCAGTCGTGTTTGCTTTTCCACTATATTGAAAAACTCCTGCTGGAAAATGCCCTGTCCCTACATTGTTATTGAAATGCACTTTGATTTATTGATGGAACACAGCTGGGCAAAGGTGGGCCATTGGAACACAATGCTGCATTCAACCTTAGTGAGAATTATTAGCCCCTATTATGAAAAAACACTAAAGTTAAGTCAGGTCATGGTATTGAATTACGCAAACCTCTGAATTTGTAGGACGCAAACTGCATTCCTAGTCTAGTTTTCACATGTTCTGAACCACAGTGACAAAATAGGGGTATTAACAGACTATTTGATTGTTATCTAAATCTAAATTCGGGTAAATCTATTCATGCAAGCAGACTTAAACTAAGTTAAGCAAACATGCTAAGTGATAAATTGTGTTTTCATTTTTATGGAGCAAAAATTCAGCTTAGTTGCAAGGAACAGCAGGACTCTTTGAAACACTGCGTATTGCAGCACGCGTTTCCAGCTTTCCAATAAGAGCACGCTGTCAATATAAGAAGGGCTGTGCGCTGTCTCCCCCTATTGACGGAACAGAAAATTGCTGCAGATAACAGCATTCCGCTAACCTGCTTCAAATATTAATCACAAAATTTTTATTTAAGGAGTTTTTGGTTCCTGTATATACTGCTGTATTTACCACGTGACTTGTTGTACACTCTGACTTTATGAATGAGTTAATCCAATTTTATGTATTTTACATGCTGAAAACATCCATCCATTTTCTATACCCACTTATCCATCCATCCATCCATCCATCCATTTTCTATACCCACTTATCCTGTTTTAATGGTTTCCATAATTTGTGTTCTATAGTTCAACATGATTTTCTATTATTTCTCTAATTATAAGGCAATAAAGTCAATGCACTGAATTGTACAGTTTTAACAGGATTGAAAATGATCAGTCACTGGAATCATTCCAGGATCAAACCGTGATTACAAGGCTTTTAGTAGCTTTGGATGTTTTGTTTATGACAGAGATCTTTATTGACAATGGACATTTATTTTTTTAAAAATAGAACATTTAAAAAAAGATCATCAAAATGCATTGTGTTTGTTTTGTTCTTTGTAAAGTGCACTTCGTCCCTTAATTCATAGTTAGGCCTTTAACATTTTGCAAAGTTACAAGGCTGTTGTATATTGGGTAAATTACCTTGGGTGTGTTTTTTTTATTTTTTATTTATTTTCATTAGGTGAAATGCACAATTCAGGAACAGGTGAAATTATGCAGTACAAATGTATTTTAAAAAATAATAAAAAAAATCTCTTCAGTATTGAATCAGAACCATAAATGTATTTTTGTACATGTATGAAGGGAGTGGGTCCCCTGCAGGCGGATGAATATGCAAAAACAGAGTGTTTTTATGGTGAAGAATGACTTAGCTGTTCACTGTAAGTGACCTATAATCATTTTTTCTTCTTATCCCTGTTCATCCATGGTACAAAGGTAATATTTACTATTTACCTTCTGGGTGGTCTTGCATAAAAGGTATTCCAGTAACTGTACACTGGTGCACTGTAAATAACTGTAGATGCCCTATTGCTAGCAATATCGCCACACTGGCCAGTGCATTGTCACCAAACTATAGGCACGATAGTAAAATCCACCTTTGCATGGCAGCAGTCTATGGTTCTGCATCACTGCAGACGACTTGGATTGATACACTGCCTGAGAAATGTGTTCTTCAATAAACGGTATGCAGGTGTTAAACTGTGTACGTCTGTCATTGTGATACATGCACGGCCGGTACAGTGCATTGCAAATGTACATTACAGAAGGGATAACAGATTAGAGAACACACAGGGTTATGGCTGTTTCAAGGAATTTCAGTTCTATTGTGGTTTAGTGCTAGTCATTCACAAACAGCCCAGTTCTCAGTTCTACACTGTGTAAACTAGGTATTGCGGATATGGCACATGCTATATATGAATGTATGAATATAAAACGCTTCTCCATCTAAACATAGTATATTTAAAACCTGTGTGTGAGGGGACATGGTCATAGCCTTGTGACCTTTGACCTTTACATAAAAGGCCCTACAGCTTATAAGGCCCTTTGTAACATTTCTAAATTTTGCCCATTAGCCTTCATTAGTGCTGTGAAATCTTTCATAAATGTCTGTAAAAACAGAAACGGTGATGAGTGGCACTGTTTGTTTGCATGATTGTGATTGGAAGGTTGTTGGTTCAAATCCCGTGGTTGCCAAGCAGTCATTGGCTAGATTTTCAATTTAATTTCTAAAAAATGTCTAAATTTTAATCTGAACACAAGATGAATGGGACCCTTCCCTTCAAACCCCTGCAATTAATAAATTCAAAAAATCCCCAAGCATGAAATGCTGAAACACCCGTTTATAATTAAACCGTCTCAACATATAGTAATGTATCTAATATTTTATACAGTGTTATCATAGCACAAAGAAGATTAAACCTCAAAAGTAATCAGGATCTGAGGGTCGAACCTAAAAACGTAGCAGAGTGTTTGGAGCAAATAATGAAAGGTGGAGATAACTTTGTATCCTCATCCTTACCAACATGTGGTGCCCCGTGATTTGTGACCTGGCGTGTTTTTATTTTTTTTATTTTTATGAATTTGTCCAATCAATACTGTTCATAAAAAGGGGAGAAAGAAGACGGGATGTAATGTTCTCGGCGGGCGCAGCCCATCTAAACCCACTGTTTACTGTTTTCTCCATTTGAGAAAAGAGATCTGTGGAGATTATCAGCGGTACGCAAGTCCCCTTTTTATTAGATTCTTACAATGCGCTTTTAGCCAGACGAGCCCCCCCTCCCATCACAGAAGCAATAACGGCAGTCAGCAGGTCCTCGGCCTCAAGGTCACGGGCAAAGGCAGGCACAGTTACCGGGACTGGCTTTAAAAAGCCAGGCGAGCTGTGGGAACGACACACCGGAGACGGCACTGCCGAGTAAGCATGACCCGCACAGCTCTCTCACTGCTAGCAGCCATAACCGTCCTGTTTTGCGATGCCACGCCGGAGGTAAGTTTCCATTAACTTTTCCTGCTGGGTGCCACCAATCCGTAGTGACTGCTGGCAATTTCTGGCTCATGCAAATTCGATTTTCTGCACAGTGACAATAGTGTATTACTTTTAAATTGCCTTTCTGGCACGGGAAGAACACAGTGTGGCGACTTTCAAAGGGAATCATCGCGGCTGCCAAAACGAAATTAAGGCTCCTCTAATCTATGTGGAAAAAATGCATCCCAGAAAGTTACTGATTACGAGTTCAGAGACGCACCCCCTGAGATTCACCCCGCAGCCACTGGACATATCAAAGATATGGCATGATAAGACCCTATAAAGCGAGGAAATTCGTGCATGTAGGAAATTTCGATTGCAGTACAGTTAAGACAATGTCCGGATATTGTTATTGCTGATATGAAGACTAATTAGATACAATGAGATTGCATATCCATTTATAACTTGCATCACATTAAATCTTTCATCGGGTTGAAAGATCTTAATCAACGTCTAAAAAGAGGTAGAAACATTTGGCGTTGCAATCCGCCTTGGTATTATAATTTATGACACCGTTTCGTATCGGTGTCAGTCTCCCGTTACATAAAGTCTCGGTTTGTTCTCATGAATATCCAAGATCTGCTCAATGCATATTTGCACCGGTTGTTTGTTCGTTTGCTCTGGGAAAACATTTCATAATTCGTATGCAGACAGCACAGAAAAACAGGACAAATAAAAGCCACCCCCGTTAACTTTCATATCCTCATTTTAACGATTATGTTAATCGCCACAAAAAAAAATGTCGGATCTCAACACTAACACGGGGTGCGTTTCCCAAAAGCTGCCGTTCAGCAACTTGCATAGCTGGAACCGTTCAGTTGCGTAGGACCAACTATCTTAGTGCGAGAAACGTACCCAGGATCAGCAGGGCGAACCGAAACACCGTAATCAAAACGCTGACCGCCGTTTGCAGATAATCACACAGTCAGCTGCAATAACGAAGGCGGCGATATCTCTTACACAACTTGTCATTACACCCCTGGTGTGGCTCAACCTCCCCGCCAGGACTACAAAACGTGCCCGCTGATGGTGAAGGTGCTGGATGCGGTGAGCGGGCTGCCGGCCTCCGCAGTCAAGCTGGAGGCGTACAGACATACGGACAACAACTGGAGCCTCATTCAGGAAGGGTAACATGATCCACAAATCGCCATTTAAGGATATTTAATCTTACACTAACACCCCTCTTCCTTTCCATCTTCCTGCTGCCTCCTCTTGACACTTTTAAACATTGTGCATCCGTCATGCAGGGCCACTGATAACACAGGAGAGGTTCACGGTCTCATTGAAGAGAAGGATTTTGTGCCAGGACTTTACAAAGTCGTCTTCCAGACCAAAGCATACTGGAAGTCAAAGGATCAAGAAGCATTTCACGAGACAGCAGAAGTAAGTAAAAATGTGGGCACGTATATACAAGACTGGACAGGTCATCTGGCATACTGGGCATTTTCCTGGTGGGAAATCCCAGTCCAGCCCTGCATATACACACCCCTCCAAGCGTATGACATCAATAAATGCTAACATATCCTTTCCGCGTTTCCATTCATAAACCTGAGTGCAGCTTGTGGATAATTAAGTCAGAGGTACATAGATGCTGAGCACATCTACCATCTCAGACACATTTGTGTTTTAGTCAGACATGAACTAAAGGAAGCTGGCTTTAATTCAATGGAGTCCTATCTCTACCCCTTGATGCCAGCAATGACATGTATAATCACTTCATTAAGCTGCCACAAACTGAGAAATGCATCGCTGCATTTACAAGCCCGTCTGTCTAAATACTCTGTTCGCAGGTGATATTCACGGCCCACGGCCAAGGTCATCGTCACTACACCTTGGCTCTTCTACTAAGTCCTTACTCTTACTCAACTACTGCTGTGGTCACCAACCCGCAGGAGTAACATGCTGAATGACGCGCAAAGCATCCCAGTTCAACACACCTGTAACAGGGAGAGAGAACACAAACAGATCTGTCATCATATAAACACGCCTGGAATTGACCTACTGTAGCACATCCATTCCTTTGTGTATTAATACAAGCAAATTAATTTGGGGGGGGGGGGGGTCTTTAAATTATTGCAGGCGTAAACTAGGGCTAATCTGAATGCAAGTGTACTTTGCACTCTTTTAGATGGTATCATGGTGGACAATTGCAGTTACGTCCCGTAAATGTAGTCATGATAAAAGACTGCACAGGTGTTTTGCTTCGATGAGGTTTATAAACCAAAAAGTCTAAAGTAGCAAAGATCATCCCTTCAAAGTAAAGTTTGGATGTTTACTGACCTTTTCTGGAAGATCGAGCGTGAACTGGTGACGCAAACGTCCGTGACAACTGTGTACTGAAGTAATTACAGTAAATACACTAGATGACACTGAAATTCACTTCTTTATTTGAATAAAAAAATATGCTAAAGCAGTGTTACATGAACATGGCAACATAATCGTTTACTTTACTGAAAAACAGGGTTACAAAGTCCAATGTGTCTGACTCCTCGATGTTTTACAGAACAGTGTGAACGCAATTCCAAAGCATTGATTATACAAACACTGTAAAGCAACGTCAAAATCTTATGTCAAATGTTCTCAGAAGGAACAAGTTTTTTAAAAAAAAAATAAAATAAAATAAAAAAAAAAGGTCAATTTTTCTTCATATATTCACATCTAGGTAAAACAAATGAAAAATAAAAACTTGGAAACAAGAGGAAGAGGGGGAGAAAAAAAAACTCTACATATGCACTCAAATTTCCTATAAACTCAAGTCAATGTTCACGGCTAAAAAACCTCAAATCAAAATTTTCTAAAACATTTCAACTAAAATTTTAAAACCCAAGGCACATTTATATGAATACTGCAATATGTGATACTCAACATTACAAATAACCCTATTGGTGATGCACGCGGAGTTTAGACAACCTTCCAGCACACTGACAGCAGGGAACGCGTGGATCCGAGGCGGAATACCTCCGTGCACTCTTGCGGCTTCACGGCCCTATCACAAACCGTCAAAACTAACCTTTGGGGGGCAGAAGATAAAACCGCATAGGTGAGGACTTCTAACATCAGTGCTTTCAGAGGTCAGGAGCTGTTGCTACTGGTTACGAGAACAGCTCCTGACGTTAATTCCACTTGGAGCGTTTCCTAGTTGGGATCGCCATTTCCTATATGAAAGATAGACTGGGTGGGACTGCATCAGGAAGACAGGAGGTTCATCAGCTCAGAAAATCTTCCCTCCTGCAGAATATTCCACCACAGATTCGTAATCTGCCGTGAAGCCAGACACTACATCAATGAGCTTTCGATTAAATCCACCCATCAACTGTGGGCGCGTCCGCCTTATGCTTTATGTTAATGCACCAACAGTGAGAGATTTTCTGGAGAAATCTTCCCATCTTGCACGATGAATAAGCCACTTTAGAAAGAACAGACCAGCCATAATTACATTCCAGATCTTCCCAGAAGTAATACTTCCTTTTAAAAAGTACCACAATGAAATCCCCAGGAAGTTACCCGATCCATGCTCTGAGGTTTAACCAATAAACCACAACATTGCTGCAGTTTGCAATTTCACCAACTACTCACCGGCTGGGGGAGGGGCAGAGTGCACAAATTTATCATAACAAACCCCGCCCCCCCCCTCACAAATGGCTGACCTATTTCTACATTTATACAATCTTGAATCTGAAAAACAGGTGCTGGAAATCGATTTGAAAAACTAATAATAGCAGTAAATGAAATATGGGTGGATTTGTTATTTTAGGGGGTGTGTTCTGGACAGTGTTAGGTATGGAAGCTGTGGTCCCCTTTAAAAGGTATATCCGCTGTATGTTGTCCACAGTACTGGGACCTGACCTGCTGTGACTGAGGTCAGGTTTTAATGGCTGTTACAGCTGCATTAGGATCCCACTTCCATACCTGACACAATTACAGTGGTCATTAAACAATTGCCTTTAAAAATGCATCATTACACAGGCCTATAAACGCCACCTACTTATTAAATGCAACTTAGAAAGATTGTTTAAAATCTCAAAACACTCCAGAGAGCTACATTTGGTTGACAGTATTTCTGAGGTTCCCCCCACCCCACCCAAAACCCTGAAAATTCACGGTAAAGTCAAAAGTACCCATGCGTTTGCATCAGCAATATAGCCAAGCTAGAGGGTTATGGCATTGTAATCGAACTAATTTACAACAGTGCACGTTCGGAGCTGCAACTGGCGTGGGTGAACCTCTGAGACCTTACAGGACGTTTGCTGAGACTGAATTTAACACCCTCATTTAGAGAACCTGGCAAACAGCAAGTCTCAATCCAAACCGGCTGGAAGGTTCAGGCGTCGGGCAAAACACATCCTGAATCTCGGCCAGAGATCCCACACGCTAAAAAGACAGCAAAGGCAACGATATTTAGGGCTTTTTGAGAGAAACAACCCATAAGAAATATAGCAAAAGAAAAAAGCCATTAGTTTAAAAAGACATCAAACAAAATAAACAGTGTAGCGCTCAAAACCGTTTAGTTGGAGTCGTCATAGCCCACGTTTATTCTACACGCCGTTCAAGGAAGGCACAAGAGCCATCCTCACATTACGGCTTATTTTACAGTCGGGAGCTTAAAATAAATACAGCCTCAAACAGAGTGATGTACGATCGGGCACGCCCGTTCGTGGGGGACGTTCTGGTGCGCGGCGTCACCGTGGCTCAGCGACCGCCTTCCGTCCCGCCGTCCCCCCACCCTAGAGGCGTGGCTCACCTGTACACAGTGCACTTCAAAAAAAAAAAAACAGGCAAAATAGACATCTGGATAATAAAAAAAAAAAGTATAAATAAAGGCATGCAGAAGTCTATCAACGCAGGACTTTTCTTTGGGGTGGGGGGTGCAAATGAAAATCTGGCGGAAACCAGGGGATCAGTGCGTAAAAAGCGCGGCTAATCTCAGCAGACGAGTTCTCACTCCATTCAGCTAAATTGCCTAGCGATCTGGAAAAATGTCATAGCTGCCCAAAAAAAAAAACAAGTTACATTAAATTGTCTAATAATCCTAATATGCTTTAGGTTTTAAAAGGCCTGTATTTACATTGATTTTCTTCATGCAAACTGTCTCGACAGTACAATATACAGCCAGAGGAATGAGAACACGTTTCACATGACCTGGAGTGCTTCTACGACTTAAAAAAAGGAAATAAATAAATACAAAAAAATAAACATATCCCAAATTTACATCACATATACAAATAACCATTTTGAGGAAATTAAACCCGGTCAGGAGTGAACAAAAAAGGACAACAACCACCAGTGAAAACACGGCCTATTGTCTCCTAAGGTCGTCGTTAAAGTGAGAGGCTGGGTTTCATTTGACACTGCTGCTGTGTGGAAACGGGTTTCCAAAGCCCTGCATAAGCCCCAGGGTCTCCTGCCCCCCCCCAGCCTGACAGCACCATGCTAGCAGCGGATCGGACGTTCCAAATGGGGGAAGGAACTTCCCAGGAACACAGCAAATATTTGTACAATGAAGCGTACATTTACCTTGAATCATCTTTTTTTTTTTTTTTTTAAACTGGCTCTGACATTTGTCTGATTTGCCATACATCCTCCTAGCCCCCAAAAAATGAGGTGAATTTAAGAGGTGGAAAGTTCAGGCCCAGAAAGTACAAATCCAGACCAGGGTTTTCTTTCAACCTACCAGCTGAGTGCTCTGTGATGCTTCCGACTCAAATGGTAGGTTGAAACAAAACCCTGGCCTGGATTCGTACTCACTGAACCCAAACTCCTCACCTCCGGAATTTAAAAAACAATCAGCAAGAGAAAGGGCCTGTGTGAGTTATGCAGGGCGTCGATCCCATCTCTCCCGGCACAAAGTGAAACCCTTGGCCAACCGCTCTCCGCCCACAGCACCTTACCACTCAAACGAAAGACTGGTGATACAGAACTCATGTGGGTTTAAGGCTAAGCAGTAAACATCGTGTTGGCTGACACTGGCACTCTGCTCTTCCAAAATGTGATGGAAATTTACAAGTGGAAGCTGACTTGGCCCACTTAACATGCAAATGGAGACACGATCACCCCGGCGGTCTCTGCTCTTCACGTAGGGCGACCCAGCCACGTTAAACCGGACTCCTTCATTTTTTTTTTGTCTTTTTGTACCGCTAAAAGGATTCAGAAACTGGATTTTGCTTGTGTCAGGTCCTGGAATCCATTCAAGAGACAAATAAGCCAGTTCAATAGTCGGCGACAGGAGCCAGTTCTGGGGAAAGGTTAACTGATATGTTTTTGTATAGTCTGCTCATAGTGATCTTGGGTGTGTATTTCAAGTTGTTCAAACCGTCTAGGTACTGTCTCTCTTTGGAATATCTCAGAAGCTTGTACCTGTGAAGTGAAATGGGAACTCCAGTCAGCATTTATACTGAGGCTTGATCTTCTGAAACACAAGCGCATCACTTCAAGCATCAGATATGAAGTGTCAAATACTTAATGAATTAATATCTAATACAATTAACTTGATTGGGGGGGGGGGGATAGCTATACCTTCTACTGTATGGCTCAGTATTTACAATTAAAATGTCTGAACAATTTCATTTCCTGTCACAAGCTACTGTTTGCACTCGACTTTCGTCAACGGCAGAAGCCACCTTTAGGTTAAAAGGTCAGGATCCTGTGACGTGAAAGGTATCCGGGCACAGAGTTTAGTGGGATGGCCTGTGGGGTCAGCGACCTCATGGGCACTGCTGGCCAGTGCAGGAATGCTGAAGGGGGCCCCTCTCCAGGGGGCGTGGACAGGCCCCTCCCGGGAACGTCTCAGTACTCACCTCCCCAGGAACTGAACTTCTCCCCGATGGTGGTGAGGGATGGATTTGTACTTTCCTATGTCCCCGTCTGGCCTGGTGACATTGAAGCCCGCATAGTGCACCCTGAAAGCCAACCAGTAAAGCATGTCGCTTAAGTCCAACCAAGAACAACCCGGAGCAAATATCTCCAGTCTCACCAGATCAAAGCCAGCCGTCATCACTTAAACGCATTATACATTTCTGCCTTTTTAGAGGGGAGCCACAGAGACAATGGGCGACAAAGATGGAGGATTGTAACTATCGCTACGTCTATGTCAGTGCACTTCGCATTAGAGGCTGCAGCGCATGCAAGACATTGCTTCCAGCTGCGACGTTCGGCACTTATCAGTGACAGTAACCTGTTCCAGAGGTCGTCGTCCTCTCCCCCCCAGCCCCAGAATGCATTGGGAAACCCATTGATCTTCCGGAACTGGTCCATGGTCAACCCACTGACACCTCCGAAGAACTCCGCATACGGAAGGCTGAGTGGGGGGGGGGATAAATAAATAAAATCAGTCAGCGAAAGGTGATTAGATGCCTAAAAATACAACAGTCTAGAAAACATGTAAAGAACATAGAAGACAATACACAGCCTGCCCTTGCAATTTCTACATTTATTCATTTCTACACAGCCTTCTTTGCGGTTTATTATAACTGCTGCCATATGCAAATGGATATCCCGCTGGGATCAATAAAGTAACCATCCATCCATCCATCCATCACCTACTCAACAGTGGATGAATGGCTACTTAAAATTAAAACCAACCCCATCACTGAAGCATTAGGTCTAATGGATGCACACTTCCTGATCTGAAAGAAGAACGTCAGCTTAGGCTGAAATATACGGAAGTCATGCCGACAGCATGCGAGTACAGATTTATGGCGGTGATGAGACAGGAGGGGGCGCTATTTTCCAGGATATGTCCAGTTTATAAATAGGCAACTAGAGGAAACAATGCAAAAATAAATACTAAATAAAATCCTTTAGTTAGCGGCAAAATCAGCCGCTTCCCAGTATCCAACCCAGCCCACACTGCCTACCCAGGACTCCTGACAGAACTGTCTAGAACATGCAGGCACCCGTACACGCCGGCACTCCGCATCCACAGAGCGAGGTGCAGGAAACGCACACCGAACACTAAGAGCCCCTTAATCTCAGGGGGGAAAAAATCCCGCATGACCCACGGGGTCCCTGAAGCAGGTTTTGGAGAAACGTGTGCAGGATGGAATTCATCTACTTTAGTGATCTCAACCCCTCTAAGGGGGATTTGTCAAAGGGATTACTACAGATTTTAGAACACAGGTTAGGATTACACGAGAGAAACAGGATTACACAGGGGTTAGACATCAAGTCACTTTCACAGCAATACGAAAGGCAAATTCAGATGAAATATGGCCATAAAGCTATGTGTCTGCTATGTGTAAATTTATTCCAGACACACAGATCTCTGGATAACCAGGTCTGACACGGCTGATTTACTCCTAAGGCAGAGGCGGAGAGCTCTGGTGTTTGAGACCCACCAGACTGCCATTTAAGTATAAACACCTGTAGAGAAGAGGGATGGGAGATTGTCGGCCTACGGATCGACTTACACAGCCCTGCAGACGGCCGTCTCATTGTCAGAAAATAAACACTAATTAAAGAGTCAGCGATCGCAAGGGAAGTGACATCAAACTCACATGTACATGTATTTGTCCAGCTTGGCGGCAAAGTGCCGGGGCATCTGCCCACAGCCGTAGTAGTTACGGTCATTCTCCGGGATGTGATCCACGTCGTGGAAGATGAAGCAGTCCCAGTCTAGGTCCTTCATGGCTTCCTTGAAACCCACGTTGAACAGCATGGCACGGTTGAATGGCTGAGTACCAGTCTAATGAAAAGAGAAGCAGAACAGAAACTCGCGGGGTTTGCATTTATACACAAGTGGTTGGCCACTATTTAAGGCCCTGACGGTGAAATGGACTGTGTCCAAATTCAGGGGCTTCACCCTTCTAAGGCGGCATTTGAACACCGAATGTGTCACAGTGGTCTGACAAGGCTGTCCCATTCCAAAGGCTCCTTCAATTGCGGTTTAGAAATACGTCCTTTTGCCAAGTCGCAAAAGATCCACCCGATGGACCGTTCGCAGTCCCAGGCTTCATACAGGTAAGGTAGGTGTGTCCTGGCTAGGAGCGGCACTTCACGACTCAAAAGGTAATGGTGGGAATAGCTGGCGACGAAAATAGGAAATCATTCATAGGCCGGAACGTTCCATTTGACAACGCCTACCGTTAGACCTTAGAAGGCAGCAGCCCACGAAGGCAGTGCCTGAATTCGGCCCCTGAGTTCGGACACAGCCACAAGTACTCTGCCAGCCACGGGATTCGAACCCATAACCTTCCCGGTGCGGCACAGGTCCCAAGCCTGAGCTGCACACCGACCAGCGATTAAAAACCGAACCGTCATCAGAACGCAGGCATGCAGCACAGCTGTCAAATTGTGCAGAAACGCTAAAAAGATGGATCACCTGCTCGATGATGTAGAAACCGAACTGCAGGTGCTGCCGCTGGAGCATGGGGATGAGGTGCCGTAGGAGTATGGGCAGGTGCTCATGCCGGTTCCGGAACGGGATCAGGATGGCTACCTGTGGGGGAGAAAGTCACTCGGTATGCATGCGGCGTACTAGACATCACCCACAGGCACAAGATACACCACCATAACACAATTTACATAGCAGCTGAAACGGCCAATCGAAAGTGAGTTTTTTTTTTTTTTTTTTTAAAGACAAAAATAGTCTGTGTGACAGCTTAAAAATGGGCTCTTGCATGTATATCGAGCCCCTGAGGGGTTTTGGTGCAGGAGCCAAACCACAGCAATGTGACGCGGCGCTCCAGGCCGCCACGTCCGCCTATCCGGCACCGTCAGAACCACACCGTTTTAACCGTCCGGCAGAGCTCCTGTGCTACAGGCACGTCTGAAAATGAGGACATTTTCAGGCTGAGCCAGTTTAATTCTCACAGCAGTCGGGTTGACGCCTTAGTGCCACCGTGTACCAGACGAACCCCATTCAGAAAAAAAAAATGCAAAAGATTCCCACGCTTCCTCTGCACAACAGCAGCCAGAGAGAGGTTCAGACCGTAAGCGGTTACGCGGGGGACTGCCGCACAGCACGAGGCACGCCTGCTCACCTTCCAGCGCGGCTTGCAGTCTCCTGGCTTCCAGTGGCCGGCGTTCCGGACGTCTGTGTATTTCGAGAACTGGAGGTAAATGTCTTCCATGGGCATTTCAGTCATGTTGACGTCAGCTTGACCCTCTGGAGGACACAGGATAGAGATTCGCACCCACACCAGAGTGCACCGCGGCCGCTCACAGAACACGGAAGCTTAGGCGGGTCGGCACGGCCGTCAAGAATGGCGTCGAGGCGGGGAGAGAAGATCTGGTGTTTTAAACTGGTGGCGGCACAGAGCTGGAATGGAAAGGTCCACTTGCAGGGGAAAATTCACTTGGGAACTTTGCAGATGCACGATAAAAAAGGGGTGTGTGCAATTAGGGAAGCGGAGCACGAATCACTGAACATGCAATCCCTAAACTTCTCTGATGAGTTTGATTGTCACATGCAATTCGACGTTGTTCTGATGTCTAACTATACATCTTGACCATGGAAACAGTCCATCCAGGAACAGGACGGTATCCGACTCACTGACTCTGGAACTTGTTACGTGAAATTTCAGCAATACCTCACCGATATTAAAAAGCTCGCTTGCATTCTGCGAAATACAAAATTTACATGGTAGTGGCCCTTTCTGGGCACAGATTATACACGCGTATGCCAGACCCGTCTGATGACGCCTTAAACAGGCGGTCAGGTGTCGGACAAATCGATTCGTCACTGCGGCAGCATCACCAAGAGGAACCATCTGCGGAGAGCGAGACACTACTGAGGGCTGCAGAGGGGGGGCAGCCTGCAGCTGGCCAAGTTTGACAAAAGAAAAAAAAAAAAAAACCTTGACACAACCCAATGTGGCTAGAGGAAGCAGAGGGTGGAGATCGGCCACAGAGGAGCAATTAAAAGTATCACAATGATTATAGCAGCAGGGAGGAAACCGACAGTCACTGAGATGATCATGTGACTGATTGCTGTCGAGGGGAGCAAAGAAAAATGGGTGGGTGTCTTTCGAGATGCATCTAAAAGTGTAACAGACGGATAAAAAAAAAATAACTTTCAGCCGAAAAAAAAGAAAAGAACCCGAAGGGTTAAGAAAAGCGGAGTCACGGGGTGCTGACCGGGGGGGGGGGGCGAGGGCATCACTGCGCGTAGCGACAGAGACAGAGGGGAGGGGCCACTTACTCATAGAAGGTAATTTTTCAGGGCAAGGGAGGTTTAGGGCATAGGTGAAATTCTCAGGAAGATAAGTAGTCGGCTGGGCGATGAATTCACTCGAATTATTGCCATCGGGGTAATCTGTGAGACATTAGTACACAATAAGTGCAAATAAACATTTTTCACGTCTTACCAAGCGTATGCATTACAGCACAGCGAAAAGCTCATGTCGCATGAACGCTTAACACTTCAAAATGAAAGTATATTAAAGACAAAAAGCACACAGAACACACCAGCTTCACACAGGTTATTAAAATACCATTAGCCGTTGAGAGATGGTAGCTGGGAGACCAGTCAATAAGGTTCACAGGTCAATGCAAAGCATTATACTTGGTAAGAACATCGGCAGGTTTGAAGTTGCTACAGCAGGTATGAGTACGAAGAGAATGCGAGGAGGCGGAGGACATGGGGCGTATCATACGTACCGGTGCCGTTGATGCTGCTGTTCTTGTTGGTGTACAGCCTGATCATGTGACTGATCGTACGGACATTGTCCCTCAGCATCATACCCTGGGCCTGGACCATGAAGAAGTAGGTGTTGGCTGAGACGAGAAGATAGGCTGTGATTAGCTCTTCAATGGAACTACCAGCGTAGGGTCTGAAGGATGGAGGGTTTGGCTTTCTAAGGCAGACATGCTGGTGGGACAATGCCACCCTCCACAAGGGACAGAGGACACCAATTGTTTTAATTCAACTGGACCAGCTAAGTCCAGATAAATACATTTGAAATCTGGTTCACAAAACTGTGCGATACTCATATCCACGTCAACAACACACACAGCTAAATTCTGAATGGACATGCAAATTTCAGTTCTTGCCCATATCTAAAAGAGGAAGTAAAGCAGAGCAATTCATTTCACAGATCTACAACTGCTGTTACAACATCTCTTGCAAGTACACATATGAAAGCAAGCAGTCATTTATGAAATAAAGAAGCTGCCATTTGCACGCAAACACCCAATGCCAATATGCTGCCTTAGCCAAAGCACAGCCGGCTTGGCCAATAGATTCAATAGCGGGTAGCAGTGTTTCCCCTACCATTATATAAGGGGGGCACCTTTGGGGTCAAGGTCAACTTCATTTTATTTAATTTTCTATATAGCACCAAATCACAACAGAAGTCATTTAAGGTTCTTTCCTATAGAACAGGTCTATAAATTGTCCTTTTATTAAACAAACTAAGTAGCCTTATGTTATTTATCTTATTTACACAACAGCTTGTCATTTTTGTCTCTACACGGTCGCGCGTTTATAATTCTCCTCTGCTCTCTGTATCGCGCGTGGCGGAGTTCCGCCCCGATGCGCGCGCACAGAAACGTGCGCGCGCACACAGGTGAGCACACTCCCAGCAGCGGACGGAGAGCGCGCGTCGGAAAATAAGTCGCGTCAACCACCCGGTCAGCAGTGTAAACTGTGAGAGGGACTTCTCAACCACGAACAGGGTAATAAATACGTTTCACAATGGGATTTTCTGCTTTAAACTATCACTATTTTAAGCTATCAGCGATCACTTTTAAAGCCTAACAGTTAATGTATTTGCAGGTCAAGACAAACATCCGCAATCGGACTTTGTAAGCGGACGTCACAATCGCTATAACCGCAGTGTATTATGGGTCGAATCCCCACTGCTGTCATTAAAATAAACAAAAGAACACTATGAATCCTGTCGGTGTCCGTCTAACCCCCCCCCAAAAAAGCTGTAAACCTAGGGGAAACACTGGGATAGTCATGCAATTTTAACTTAAGCCATTATAACCTCCAGCTACAGCAAAGTAATTAATCTGAATTGCACCAGTAACCACCTAACCATATAAATGGATTAATTCGATTTACACTAGAATCTGATGAGATGCTGCAATAAATAGTCATCACATATACAGAGTAGCCGTCCACGACCGAAAAGTCATTAAAAGAAAGCGATAAAGGAGGAGTTTCACACGACTTGCTTGTGTATGATGCACATTCACAAACCAAGATCGGCCTTCCAAAGGCTGTAAACTAGGCAACCGTGGATGAGTTTATTAGATCAGTTAATGCTCCCGTTTCAAGATGACACAGGCACAAACATCAAGCATGCAAAACCACGCACGAAGTGCTGGATAATACAAGCATAGGAATAATAATGAGTGTTTGTTATAAACCATAACATACTGATAGCAAACTTTGGCAATTTACAAGCATTTCGAAATCTGCATAGATGTATGAATCAAATTCAAAATGATTTAAAACCACCAGTTACCGCCAAAAACTAGCCATATTAAACTCAAAGCTTGCATGAAGTACATTCAACTGCAAGCAGAAAGAAAGCATGGCCTTCAAAGTACTAGTGGATCAAAAGAGGGTTGGTTCATACCAACTAGCTGAGTCTGCAGATTGAAATAAAGGACTACCAGTGGTAACTAGCTAGGGTTTCACTGGCCTTCTGACTGGTTTATCTTCTCTGGGTGTATGGGGAGTGTAACATCTCTCTCCTTTTATGGTTAGGCCACATAAAACCATTGTCTAAAGCACTAATTAAATTTCGTCTCATCTGACTCAGCGAGGCCAGCGGTTTCGGGTGAACATTACAGGAAGAGAATTACAATTACTACCTACTAAAGTGCTTCTGAGGATATATTAGTTCATACCAGGATTGTCAGTACCAATGAAGATAAACATGAACTTTCTCCGGGGAACATCTAATATGCATTATCTAGCTTGAGAGTGACACCGCAGTCATCACTCTTGGATTATTTTGAATAAAGACAACTAACATTTCTCACCCCACCTTAAAATCATTAATAGAGCAATACTGTTGTCAAAGGCGAACAAAGCAATTAATTTTGCTGTACAAGGGCAAGATATTCCAAGTCTTTCAGGTTTCCTCCATGGATGTAAAATGACTACACTCCCAAAAAATCCAGACTAAATCAAAAAAGGGGGACGGGCACTGACCAATATGAACGTCGCACTTCTAACGCATGAGCTGAAATTAAAAATGTAGCCTGTACGTCTTCCCATAAACAAATTTAAAACAGCTTAACATATGAAGCTCGAACACCGAACTTGCGCAGCATCTAAAAGAAATAACTATACATTTATTAAACATAAATTAATGTCAACAGTAGTGTGAATGAAGAGAGCGAGAAAGGTTAAAAAAAAAATTGTACGGGCACATTACATGGGAGACCTAAAGGAAAGATGCACTTTCCTGGCATGTGACTGGCAGCACAGGGCACCCCGTGAGACCCTGTGACCCGGAAAAATACAGGAGCATCCCTACCGACAGGCATCAGGACCCCGACGCGCTACTACAAAGAGCGTCTCACACAGGAAGCCTCTCAGATGGACACTGCATTGAAATTCAGTCCCACGTGAATTTGCATTTCAAATGAGGGCCGAGTCAGCAAGCAGACACACACACACACACAGATACAAATCCAGTCCACAGGCCACAGCAAACTACACACAATCACTATAATGATCTAATGCCTAACAACAAAATAAAATAGAAATGTCCTTTGGAAAGACCATGCACACAAGCTGGGCTTGGCACAGTACCACCCCTTGTTCAATGTGTTTTTTTGACAGCAAAGGCCGTTTAAAAAAACGGGGGAGTTTTTGTCTAGTGTGCATTTTTCCCAGATATATTTTTGCCTCATTATATAATAAGCGTCACTGTGGTTCAGCCATGAAGGCAATAAAGAAATGTATCCCTTTGTCTCCTGACTCACCAGACTGTCTTCAAATGTTGAGACGAATATGGCATCCCCAAGTGTAAAAATAAACCTTTGGCTGTTTGAGGAAAGAGGGGCTTTTCCATATGACACTTAAGCAACTGACACAGCAGAACACAGTATTGCTTCATAGACAAGAGAATGACCCTGGTGAAGCCCTGAACCAAGCAAACGAGGAACTACCATCCACAATCGCGGAAGCCTAACCAGAATGGACAGCAGTCTACTCAGAGGAGACCGGCATGACTGATCAGATACCAGGTGATGCTGAGCCAGCACAGACCAAAACGGAGGTTTCGCCAACAAATGTCTTTGTCCCACATCGGCAGTCTGAATAACATAAGCGGCAGGGATAAAAAATTACTTCTGAGTCAGAAGCAGATTATTAAAAGTGATAAAGTGAGAGACCAAAGATTTTCTCAAGAAGCTTAAAAAAAGCACTGAAAGTCTCACGGCAGCCAGCCTCATCCTAGATACCTTGTTTTGGATGACTATAACTCCCTGTTAATCACTGGTAAAGAGGGGGGGGGGAACACAGAAATAATTGAGCTATAATACAGGGCCAACAAAACAGACTAGCACTGGGCATTACGGTTTGAAGGAAGATGTTCATAGAAAACTCTCAAAGTCAAAGGTGAATACAATACATAATTCCAGTGGGTTTTAAATCAACCGCGAGTACAGCCTCACATTCACAAATAATCAAGCACATTGCTTGTGGCAGAGCAGTTTGAAGCTGCAGTTCTGTCATTTTCTCTAGATAATTGAATAACATCCGATTCAAATACCGACATATCATATGCCACGTCTTCTGGGACAAGAAATTAAACAGCTGAGGACGTTCTCATTTTTAAATCACAATTAAATCCACATAAATGTACCGGTATCCAGTAATTTAAGAGGGCCTGGTGCGTTGTTATAAGCATGCTTTGACATAAACGCATTACTAAAGAAATAGGCAATATTACGCAATTAGACCATTCATTGAGGAACTAAAGGCAGATACTGAAAGCAGACTGAAAGTCTACAGTAGCTGGGTTGCAGTTTCCCAGCTGCATGGAAGACACGCCGGCTCTGCAGACCGAGCATGGCCTACACGCACGTTTGCCATTCCTCCTCTGTCAGGCATTCACAGCGTACGATCAGGTCGTGCTTAAACGGCAGTCTTACTAAATTCAATGTGATCGCATGACAGGGAGGGGAGGGCGGGACGATCCATTCGCCGCGGCCGCATTACGAAGCCGGGGTGACCAAGCGGTTAAAAGGGAGCGGCGCTGTCCTTGAAGGCTGAGAGCCACGTTCCGATCCACCATCCCCCGAGTTAAATGAAAACACGTGCTTGGTGGCGGTAATTGTGCTACGGCACGCCTCCGATCACGCCCGCTACTGACGGGACCCATCGCATCGCATTACATAACAAGGAATTAATGCAAAAAGGCACATGCCTGTAAATCTTCCATTCTCTGCTCTGCGTCACGATCATGAACGCTTGACTACTCATCCGACATTCAGACGCAGGTGAACTGTATCTGATGGCTTTGTGGAAGCGCAGGACATCGTGGGGGCGTCTGCACACACGTACACACACGCATGACCCCGAAGCAGACTTCGCATGTTCACACAATGGGACCCGAGCCAGGAAAGCCAAACAGGTGAAGGTGCACTAATGCACTGATCAGCACAGGCGAGTCGGATAACGATAGAAGTTATGACTAGGGGTAGTAGTTACTGCAAATCTCCCAGCAATACCAGAATTTCCGGATTGTAGGGCAGCTGCCTACCATCTTTTTTACATATTTTTTTGGGGGGGCGGCGGCAAAGAATACATATTGCGGGCAAGAGATGATATCCCCCCCACGTTAGATTATTAAAGGTAGTGGGGTCTGCCGTATGCGCTTACTCACCGATTCCGGGCGCCACATAAATGAAATACAGGCAGGACGTAGACAAGGAGAAAAAGAAAATGAAGGCCAGGAAGGAGCGGTTTGAGATCCGCAGGAGCCGCCTCCAATTCCGCATTTTCGCTCACAGTCCCGGATTGCGGTGAAATAACAATCCCATAAAAAGACGCTTTAAAACGGTAATATTGGTGATTCCTTTAAATAAAAAAGAACCTAATTGGTTTAAACGGCCATGTAAAAAATAATAAAAAATCAAAGTGCCGTTACTGTCCGCATCGCGTCTGCCGGGGGGATGCAGTATAACTGCGATATAGCCGAAGATCCGCGTCGCTAGCCCGGACTAGAAACGCGCAGGGTGGGAAGCAGGCCCCGTGGAGCACCGGTCAGGCTGCCCGACTGCTTTCAGCAGGCATACCGGAACCGTCCACGGCCAGTCCGCGATACAGGTCTGTTATTCCTCGGCGATTCCCATGACGTCGCTCCTCGTTTAGCCTTCTCTCTATATCCCTCTCCCTCCCTCTCCTCGCCAACAATGAAGCTCCTGGGACGATTCTGGGAAAAATCTGGTCGGTGCCGCCTCCTTCTCCCCCCTCCTCCCTCCTCCCTCCCTCCTCCTCGCGCTCCGCGGCTCCCAGCAGCGGCCACGCCGGTTAGCCTGCTAGCCTGCTAGCCTGCGAGGTAAGTTACGGTAACCCGCGGAAATGCTACACGGCGACTAGGACCGCGCCCATAAAATATTACAATAACATTTACGGTTAGTATTTAAAAAAACTAAAATTAAACTCCCCCGTAGTACATTTTAGCAGACGCGCGCGTACGTATCTTAATATTTAAAAAGGATGTTTAGAGAATGTGCGCGAGCCTCGGCCCTGCCGGCGTTCACCATGGCAACTGCTCCGACCGCAGTGACGGATTATGGGGTCGCGTGCTCCCGGAAAGGACACGCCTGTTTTTCGCCTCGCGCTGCTGCCAGTGCTGCAGTTGTGACCGAAAATGCATGCGGTGTCACGCGTGTTTGGGGAGAGTACGGAGACGATGCTGGGTGGCTTTCATTATAGTGTATTTTCTCTCACACGGAATGACGTTGCAGTGGTTTTAATGGCGCTTCCTGGGTGGCCACATTTTTTTTCTTGTCATGAATTTTAAAGATCAGGGGTTGTATTAAGTTGAAACTACATCCTGCAGCATAACAGTGAAATGATTTGCGATCGTTGGCGATCGGCGAAATGAGACGGTCGAGTTCAAAGTTTCTCACTTCTTTCTTTTGGTTTAGGAAAGCCACATTCACGTAGGAACCGAAAGCTATAGCCTAAGGATGCATGATTGAGCAATTTGGGACATACAGTACAACCATCATTATCTTTACCTGGTGTGCCTGGTGTAAGACGGGAAGAGTTAAAAGGACGTTAGTCTGTCCTTCACCTGGAGTAGCCTTTTCCATCTGACAGGACGTGAGATACACACGAAGGTGCATTGAGTATCAAGTTAAAAAGAGATGGATACATATTATAGCGATCCAGAAGATGCACATAATGAGGCTGGAATATGGTTATATGATTTTCATGCCGAGGTAATAAACACGTCCACTCGTACACCATTTACCTGATAGCATTAATCATTAATTTCCACCTTCAAAGAGCAGCTAATCGTTGATTAAATATCAATAGTCAAATGTCTCCCATTTTTACATGGAAATACATGAATTTTAGCTAAACACAAATTATTTTGAATTTACGTGCGCAATATGATCAAAAGACAAATGACTACTCTGGAAAAGAATGCATGTCATAATCAAGTAAGATCTGGTTTCAAAACTTAATATTAAATATGAATAAGTATTTCATTCGACAAAAGCACGAAGCTCCATTCTGTAATTCTGCATCAATATTTGTTTTGGTTTACATTCACTTTCTTCGTAAATGATATGCTTGTACAAAGTGCAGGCTGTGGTCAACGTGATTCCAGAGTAAACTTCGACAAAATGACATTGACGCTACCTTACGTTAATAATGCAGGTTAAGTAAGTAATTCAGCCACATATGGCCGGTTGGTACATCTTTAATTTTACTTAGATGTAGGAAGACCAGCCAGAAAACCAAGACCATGAAGTGATACAATCTAAATGGCCTGTAGTGCATTCAACTCTGATTAAAAGGCTCTTTCTCAAATCGGCTGCTAGGTATCACCCCAGTTACCAGGTCTTTCAGATTCATGCTGCTTACATGTGTTTTTGTTTCTTATGTCTGTTTTAATAATTAATTGTTTATTCTACAATGAGAAAACAATGCATTTCTATATATAATTCAGACCTCTATCTCTATACATTTTTCCTGTTTTGAGGTAAGCTCAGAAAGGAATGTCTTCCGTGAACTTGCATTGATATTGAAATATTTATTATTAATCACATTATAATCACATATGATGAAACAGTGAATTGATAGAATTGATTATTTTGTATATATATTTTATTTATTTGCTATTTTTTGTTCAATTTGCATGGAATTAGGCTATGTATTTAATTTCCCAACAGGGATCAATGAACTTTAAAAATCTGTAATTGGTTTTTATTAATTAGAATTTTATTGCATTGGAAAAAGTCAATATTGCCCATAGAAAAATAAAAAATGAACCTAAAAACTTTCTCATAAGTCAATAAGGTAAACACACAAATAGTGATGATGAATCATAGATTACTTACATTCATTATTGCAATACCTTCAGTGTTATAGTAAATACATTTGGTCTAATATTTAGTATAATACTGAAATATCACTGCTTACTTAGCTGCCATTTTTGCACAATTAAATAAGTAAAGATTACACTGTAGAAATTAGCCCGTTTCACAGCTTCGGATTAGAGCCAATATAAAAACTTAATAGCAATGAAACCATCCTGGATTGAGAAGAGTGTGTTTTCTTTGTAAGGTCCAGCATTTCAATGAGCCCCATGAACAGAGTAGGGCAGCATCTAATCACCAAAGCTGCCAACATACTGCGTGACACAGAGTCTTACTTGGTGCAGCACTGTAAATAACAGACGTCTCCAGTTTCCTTTTACTACATCTCAACGGTAAAAGCACTTTAATAAAAGATTAAGCTGCATAATTCATCCTAACTAATGGGGGATATACTGTGAAACTGGCTTTTGGACATTTTGCCTCCCTTTGCAGAAAATGGGACGTAGCTTATGTCCATAATCTATTATCCATTTTCAGTAATGCTAGTTCGCCCAGGGGGGTTTGGGCAGCCAGTTGACCTTGGACCCCAGAGTATTTTTCTCTCCTTAACTGGAAGTTTTTGGTTCATCTCCTCCATTGTCATCTGGCTTTCTTTCTTTAATTTCTTTCCTTCCTTTTCCCCATTCTGTATTACTCTCTCTAATGGCGTTTAATGTATCACAACAAATCCATGTAAAGCACCTTGGGACGACTCTGTCAAAAGCAATAACATTGATTTAAAAAAAAAAAAAAAAAAACGATTAACTTCATTAATGTCGTTTTTCACCACATACCTATATGACCCATTGCGCCTGACTAACTGGCCTTGTGAATGGTTTAGAACAGTGTGTGCAGGTCTCTGAGGACTGAATTGGGAAACACTGATCTCACCAAAGCCTCTACCTCAATGGCAAGTAGAAGTCTTATTGGAGACACTTACGGTCTCAGATGGAACATGTTACAATATCTGGCATATGAAATGAGCGGAAAACAAAAATGAGAAATATTACACTATATCTCAATCAACTAGTTTAAATTACATATTCAGACCAATACAGGTATCAATAAAAGTACTTGTATTGGTACTCAAAATACACTATAACGTGGCATCAGCTGTTCCTTAAAATTCAGTGGTTGCTCAGTTATACTTGCGTAAATTTGAGAGCTGTAACACTTTCCCAGTTCACACTGGAGAGAGCAGCCATCTGCAAAATCACCCCGCTATGGCTGACTGGAGGCAACACCGTCAGAGTGTGTGCATCTGATAAATGACTCATGGGAGTTTTACTTGCACAAAAATGTTCTTAGGGCAGAAGGATCAATGATTGGTTCAGGGAGATAAATCAGATTGTAGAGGAGATGGGTCCAACCAATCAGATGTTTCAATCATTTATCTTTCTGCCGTCAGAAGTGTATTCAGAACAAATTTGCATAAAAGATGAAAATCCAAAGCGTCTGACTGTATGTTGTGCGTCTTCCACCTGCTGTCCACCCTCCCTTCCCTCTCCATGTTCTCTGCAGCGGAAGTATTTACCACCACTCAAACTACATATTTGCATGGGTCCCCCCAAGATTTGGGGCCCCCCCTCTTGGACACAAACATACAGGAAAAGTGCTTCTCCAGTTAGTTTATTTGGTTTGCGACTGCCGTAAGGGATACGGGTCAGAGGAGCAATAAAGTTTTTTTTTTTTTTTGAATGTGAAAATAAAGACGTGGACGTTGGGAGCCACACGGTTTGTTTTACCGTGACTGGTAACCTATCATTTTAACGCGTAAAACAGTCTACCAATGTTCATTTCACAGAAGTGGTCAAATGTTTAGATTGTGCCAAAAAGAATAACGTTCCCAACTGAAGACGACCACTACAGTAACCAAACTACAGATGTCACCAAATGCAAACCAAATCTGCAAAACTGGCACATGCTGATTAGTCTGGTTAAGCCACGGCCACAATTAGCCACATTAGGGAGCCAGTCAATCTCTCGCCACGCCTGCATGGGGTGACATTCCCACCCAGCAGACTCGTGCAAACCATGAGCACCCAAGGTAAGTAAAGTAAAAGCTTTAATATCTAACAAGGAAGCAGTTACAAAAGAGGAAAGTCCAACAGGACCATGTTGTGATTGTGAAATTGCCCATATTCCATACATCAATAAACTGCAATTAACATTGTTTACTCTCTAATGATGCACTGAATGCATTGCGGTTTGGAGATTTTGGCCATTGACATCCATCTCTCGACCAGACATGCAGTACATGTGAGAATGGCTGACCTTTGATGTATGAAGACCCACTATGTAGGATTAAAATTATATTAAAGTTGTGTTTAATAATCTCTGTAGTCTTGCTGCTGCTGACCGCAGTTGAGGTGCTGCGTGCACAGCGATAGGATGTCATCTGCAGAGAACACACAGGATATCAGTCTTTGTATTAAATTAAAAAAATTATCTTCAGTGAGAATCAGCTTGGTACGTGTTGGTTTCTCGATGTTGTATCGCATTGTATCACAAAATGGATTCAGGCTGGTTTTTCTGGAGAAATACGAGTTCATCTTGAAACTGCTTGATTTTATCCAACCGTACTTTTATTTTGAAATGTTGCAGGCACGTGCTGATACGTGACTCTAAGTGACAGATTAGGAGAGTATTTTGTGGCTCAGTGGGTTATAGGAGGCTGTGCCTGTGATTGGAAGGTCGTTGGTGCAAGTCCCAGGGTTGGCAGAGTGATGTCACCATCGGGCCCCTGAACGAGGCCCTTAAGTGCCAAATTCTGCAGGGACTGTTTGACCCTGCTTTCACAAAATGATTTGGATATAGGCACCTGCTAAATAAATATCATGCAAATAAATAACAATGGACTGTACCCGTGGTATATGTTGTTTTGGAATAGGGAAAAGTAAATTATTATTACTTTAATAAAAGTAAATTAGAGTCTATAGGTCACAGCCAATGCTGCAGAATTAGAGATTCAAGATAAAGGATTCATGAAAGAATTACGTCTCATTAATGAAGAATACCCAGCCCTTCGATCGTTAACTGTGTATGAGTTTCTGACTTATTTTGTATATTTCCCGTTTTTAAAGCCATAGCAAGTTATATCAAAACAAAATTCTGCTGTTGCATTTACTAAATATAAATTACATGAAATTCGTTTTTCGAGGTATTTCACAGTAGCCTTGATGGCCAGAAAACGTCAATATACATGTCAAGTAAGAGTATTCAACAACATCTGAGGAATCGTGTATATTTGACAGCTGCATGCACTTTTAAACTGGTCAGTTGTGTAAGCCCCTCTCAGACATCCCATAGTCCTAAAATTATAAAAGGATATGCAGGACAGATCCGGGAATTTATTTGAATTGCAAATAAACAAAAGCCTAGCAATCCAAAGCTGGCATGAGGGCATTCCTACTATATATTTGAATATTCATGAGTATATTTAAGATTGCACAGGGGAGAATTAGCCAGACTATTTTTGCAGTGATCACAATGAAGTCTCTTGTTGGCATGTTCCGCAGTGCACACAGCTGTGCAACAAACGCTGTTTACTGCAGCCTAAATTTATGGTAGTTAAACTAACTGCATGTCATTTAACTATGGCAGGACCCTGTACCATTCTTTGCTTGTTCATTGTGTGTGTGTGTGTGTGTGTGTGTGTGTGTGTGTGCGTGTGTGTGTTTATATATGTCCTACAATGCACTGGAACCCCATCCATGCCCTACCCTACCCTATACTGGGAAAGGCTCCAGAGTTCCCCGTCCAGGATAAGCAGTTGGTTTATCTTGCAAACACTTCGACTGAATATGTCGTTTTCCTTTCAGTGTTTCAGTTACATTCATAAATAATGAACTGCATAGCTGTCATAACTTAAGAGTGTTTTGTGTTCCGTGAATCGACTGGCTTTGACGCTTGAATGCTGGAAAGTACCGTTCAATGACACACCAAGGGGAACTTCAGCCTTGGAACTAAGAATATTTCATGTGGAATGTTTTAAATAAACCTCTAATAAACTTTCCATTTCCGGTCTTTGTATCCCGAGTGTCTTTATGGTACGTTTTAGGAATTCATGCATATATAACATAGGAAGCTATCCTCACCAACTACAGTGCACTAAATATATCCTAATTTCCCGTGATATAATATTCCTTTAGAAATGGTTTATGTAAGTCATTCTTCTTGTGGTATATACATAACTTAAAAGTCATCAAAAGGCTTTGCAATGCAAACAGAAATGAACTGAATTAATCTCTCGAGGTTCCTTTAAAGCCATGCGCTCCCAGATTCAGGAACAATTAAACGTTAAGCAAAGCCTCGCATTTGCATATATTACGGGCTCAAGGGACGTGATTGAAGATCATCTTCTTTCGGAACATCTAGCAAATTTCAGCCAACGTTGCTTCCAGCCAATCACAGGATGTGTGAACACAGCTGTAGGAAGATAGACTGAGGAAGTTGAAAGAGGGGAAGCTAAAGATAAATTGTACCGCGACAAAGGGAAGGTGATGAAACACAGAAAGCTTTTCTTCCCAAAGCAAATGGGCTTCTTAGTGGAGTCCTTTGGGTTGAACTCCTAACACTATTTTGTAGAAAAGAAAAATAGAAATTTGATATGTGTTTAAATACATCAGACATGGGACTAATCTGTCATTGATACAACAGCAGAACTCAGTCATATTGGAAACAGTCCAATGCACAGTCTGTCGTACCCCAAAAGAACGACACAAATTTTGCAGGCTGACTCTAGCTGTAGAGAGAATAGGCAGCTGCCCAGGGCACCTGAATTATGTGAAATGATCATCAGTTTTCTTGGTAGGGTGGCCTGCCAAGTGACGCATTGCCCGGGGTCCCAGAAAAGGTAGAGCTTTTCTTTATACGACAGTGAAAGCAGGTGATATTGCCCCGTTTCCCAACAGATTGGGTCGCTGTTTTCATTTGAAGCATCCAACTGGGTATGTAATTTGGTGGATGTGAAGTTTGGATGCTTTCATTTCCTGAAAGAGGAAATGACTAGAAGCATTAAATGTCATTGTTATTTTTCTGGGAAATGTTGTGTAAAAAAAAAAAACTGCAATTACTACTCATTTCCTTTCCACAAGGATTTGTGAATTCCAGTGTGGTTATGCATATCCGCACATATACACGCATGGTTAAACGCGGTTTAGTAAAAACGTGGAAAATGCTGAATTGATACAAAAAAGGATCCTCTTATGTGATAACCATGGACACACAGTTATCGTCTGTGAAACGGAACTAAATTTTAACCAACGTTAATGTACCCAAAGCAATTAAGGCTGTTTCTACAAATCGCAACAATCTTGTGGTTTTAAAGGAGCCTCCAAATCCCCATATGTTAACTTATTACTTATACACAATGGTTTTGTGATCTTCTCAATCCCATCATGATACTGGAAACCGGTAAGGAACCCCCCAGATGTTTATTCATACATGAATCCTTCGACCCCTTGATCTCCCAACATTATTATCACACAGATGTAACTCTCACACTCCTGGTGTGACACTCACGCTTTCAGACCCTCATGCAAGAAATCTTATGGCAAATCTATACTATTTCATTAAAAGCTTAAAGCTAAAAAGCGTTGGGGTAGTTTGCAAACCCTACAGACTATTTATATGGCAATAAAACTGTTAAATCATACATGTAAATGTGTGTACAGACTTGCCTCGAACTGAAAATTTCACTCCAGCCAGCTCACCAAAGTTAGCAACATTGATATCATATAAATGAAATAACTCCAACTGATTATGTTTGACTATGTTTTATCTGAGATTATTCATATAGCGGGAACTGCAGGAAGAGCGCCAGCTGATTTGCTGTAAGTCCGACAAAATCGCCCCCTTGCGGAATAAAACTGCCTCTCACTTTCAAACATATTTTCGAAACACTCCCACGGTCTCAAAATCCACCTCACAATTGAAGCGTATCTCGTGTTAATTCGCTTTTTATGTTTTAACGTCATACAAATTTCAGTCTTACTTTTTCTCCGAGGATCTCAGAGTTAAACGTTATGGGGGGCCACGAGCATCGATGGGCGCTTTTATAGGTTTGGTTTATAGAAGAAACAGCCCACCTACGTGCGTTCCTGTTAAGCAAAATGAGTTCGACCATGCAAGGCGAAAAGTCCTATAACCCCTCCCCCCCCCTCCACCCCCACCCCAATTTGCAAAATGTTACCCTTCCTTGATCTGTTGGTGTACCACATGCAGAAGGACTGAGATCCGCTTGCGCCTCTAATGTGAGGTTGAGTGCGTCACACAGGCTCGGTAGCGTTTTCCTATCAAAACAACAGTACAATTAAACCCATCTCTCCTTTGCCCTAGTCCTGCATTAAAGGCCGGGTACAAGATTCAGACAGCGAGGACATAACGGACATTAGAATAGATCATCTTCTGTTAGAGTGATGGGATCCGATCCTGGACCATCTATTATTTAAATGGCCTGCACCAGGGTCACTGCATTTTTCACCTTACAGCCAGGACATGAGTCGTAGTAATTTGTATATCTTTGTATAGCTGTATGTGAATCAAAACCAAAGTATTCTTTCGATTCATGCATTTCGGATGTTAAATGAAATGCAACGTTGGGGTGTTAACGCGTGTTAACACTTAGTTATTCTTATTAGTTAAAGGTCCGTGTGAAACGACCGGTGAAGTTTCATGCATTTCATGGATATCGATGCTTGCATATCACCCTGGTCAATGGAAACTTCGGGGTTTCGCTTTCAGATTAATGTGTGACAAAGTCAAGACTATCAGGTATTTTCCATACTTCCTGTTTTGAAGGAGAGAAAGAAAACGAAGATACGTTTTGTGGAGGCTGGTCCGATTCAGACTAGAGCTTGCATGTAGATTCGGATACTTATAAAGAGCCCAAAAGAGATCGAGCAGCCTACTTCTTGATCTGCGTTAACTCCAGCTTGTTAGGCCTATCTGACGTGAGTACATTTTGAAAATCAATCGAGAACCGCTATGAATTTACTTATTCTTAGTATTGCACTCGAGCCTATATATACTTTCGCATTAAAAGCAAACCTCCTTATTGTTCACGGTAAATCCTGTAGATACGGCTGCATCACATGGAGCCTGGGGGACTGACTGCGTGCAGTCCGGACGGGCACGATGCGCTGGGGGATCCTTCCGATCAGTTCGACTGTCCCATATGCCAGGACGTTTTGAAAAACCCCATAAGGACCAGGGCTTGTCAACATGTGTAAGAGACATATTTTGTTGTTACTCTCTAGTTTTGATTCAGCTTAAAATGCATCATGATTCGTGGTATCGATAGGGTGTGGAGGCTCCAGCTCATATCGGAAATTCTGGGTACTTAGATGTTTAAATATGAGACAATATGTGAGCGATTGTATTTAAATTAAATGAAATGGCATTTATTACACGCTATTTTTTAGGCTCCTAATTACCTTATTGGTCAGCGGTTAATTAAACCTCAGCCATGGTCCATAGCATCCCACATAGCCCAGTTTAACAGCAGAGAGCACCGACGCTCTTTCTTGCCTCTCCCCCCCCCTTCGCTGGCAGGTTCTGTAAGAGCTGCTTCGTTGCCGCAGTGAGAGTCCGGGGACCGACCTGCCCCATGTGCCGCGGGCCGGTAAGCGAGGATGAGAAACGAGCGAGCTACGTCCAGAAGAAGATGAGGGAGACGCGGGGAAGCTGCCGAGCCTGCGGGGCGCTGGTAAACAATGACGGACATTACTGTAATCAGGGTGGCTTTTGGTTAATTTTTTTAAAAATGTACATCTCCACAAACAGGGCTGGACTGTGATTAAAAATCGACCCTGGGACCCGCTCCTCATCGGTAATTCTCAAGTCATGCGTGAAATGCACCTGAAATCATTTTCAGTGTAAATGCGACAGCATCCACTGAACATCTGCGTTCATTCAGGTTTCTGTCCCGATTAAACTGATTGTGTTTCTTGTTTAATAACATATACTTACAATTGAAAACACTCCCAACCCAAGCTGAGTTTGTACAGGCGGTTTACAAGTTAGTTATTTGAACCACCGTCCTGTGTATTTCCTATATGAATAAAACGGGAAACCTCGTGTGTTTTGAATGCTTTATTCAGCATTTTGCGTTTTATCTACCTAGGTGAAATTCTGAGATACTAGGGGGCGCCATTTTGAAAAGTGAAACTTTGAATTGCTTTAAGATTAACTTCTGGGATTTCCCAGACGTTAGAAATCCCCTACAAATAACAACGCATTTAGGTTGCATGACTTCTGTGAATTGACCGAAATAACTGCCACACATAATTTAGATGAATCACAAGTATGGATGGTATGGACGGTAGAGGTGTTTGGAGTTGTTTTGATCCCGACCAGTGATGAAGATAGATCTACACCCCAGATGAGGAACATGCAAATATTTTGTCTTGTCTCAGCACTTTCTGAGTAGGATGAGAACACACTACAAGTACTGCCAGAAGTATAAGGATGAATATGGTCCCCCTGTCCAGCCTTGCATTATCACAAGGAACCAAGCACAAGTCCCACCTGCTTACAGGTGAGGCCACAAATGTAGGCATTTAAGAAAAAGTAGTTTTGAATGCAAGCATCTTGTAGCAAACTGTTCATCATGCTGGGAATGCAGTCACCAGTGATGGTATTTTGATACACATGCCTTCCTGTGATTGGCAGGGTGATAGGCAACTGCATTCCGTGCAAGGTGAACAATTCGCTTCACTATTATCCATGTTCTTGATGTATCGTTTCACATTGTTTTCTACTCATTAATTTATTGTGGCAGGAAAAATAAAAGTATTTGATTATGATAGTTGTTGTGTTCATTATAACAAATAATAAACGATACTACAAATCCAGATTTGGTTTGTTTTAACATATTTGTTGGGGGGGGGGGGTGCTTTTAGGGCTCCAGCTTTAGTTGCTACAGATCAAACCCCATCCATCGGAGGGAGGTACGTGTGGTGCACAACTTCTCTATGGTTCTAACAATATTTTCTGGTGGCTCATTCAAATCATATTCTTTGGTCTTTATTATTTGCCCTGAAAGGCTCTTCCAAATAGCAGCAGTGGCATTATGGTACTGAATAAATAAAATTGGGGGAGTGGCATCGCTGACCATTACCCTGTCGATGTTTCAGTCCACAAGCGGCGTACTCCTGCCCATACTGCCCCCAGCAGGGCTTCCATGATATGGCCCTGGTTCGGCACTGCCTGGATACACATGCTCTTGAGCACTCCCTTGTGGTAAGCCCTGGAAACTGACCCCCCATCCCCCCTCCCCTACCACAAGCCACATCCCTACTCAGTGTTCCTTCCTGTCCCTGAAGGTGTGTCCAATCTGTGCCTGCACATCCTGGGGAGACAGGAGCTACTGCAGCCGCAACTTCATTGGCCATCTGAGGGCACGGCACAGGTTCAGCTACGATATTTACATGGTGAGCAGTACATAAGATAAGCTTTATTGATGACAGATATAAATTCTTGTGTATACAGCCCAGGGAACGTAGAGCACAGATAATGGGGGGAAATTGCGAGTTCTGTTTGGGTCAGCAAGTTTGAATGCTGTGCTAGTAATCGGAAGGTTGTTGGTTCAAATCCCATGATTTCACCCATGCACCCTTAAGCAAGGTCCTTAACCTGAATTGCTGCAAGGACCCTGTTTTCTTGACTATATGTCGCTTTACATAGAAGTGTCTGCCAAATAGAATGTAAAATGCCAAAACCTGACTTTGGGGTTTGATTCTTGAATCTTCTTGGTAGAATGTCCATGAAGACGAGGATGCCGAAGTTCGCCGTGCCACCCAGCTGTCTTTGCGTCAAGCAATACCAGTTTATCCAACTCTCTTTAATCTTTAATGGTTATTCTGGAGCATGAAGAAATGGACACAGTGGCTTGTTTTATGTTATATATGTAACACGTATTACTGACTGTACAGATGTAGACCACTCCATTAATGTAAAACTCTTGTTTTCTGACTAATTTCTGGGTTCAGAATAGGGTTGCACTCTATTGGAAGTAATTAACATTACAATATTACATTTTTGTGACAAATATTGCAGTATTTATAAAGCAAAAATGGAGTTGGAAATTTATCTGTAATACATTATAGCCAAGTAGAACTTATCGTCCACTAACAAAGTCTGTCAGATAAGTTGGTGGCGTTGCCACAAGTTGTGACAAATCACTTGCTTTTGTTCCAAAATATTTCAATACACCGGAAGCCGAATGATTTTGGTGACCAGTTCCTGTTCACTTTTATCACACGGTCTATGAGTCAGTCCAGCTCGAGGACAAAAATGGTAATGATTAGCTCAGAGAGCACATGTAGAGTTCACGCAGAAGCAGCGGCAGTAAACTTTAGGCTGATTTTGTAACATGCCAGATAATCTTAAAATAGCATTCATTAAAATCACAAAGCTTGCTAAGTTGTGTTCCCTATTGCTGAATAAAAATGCTTTAATAGTGAAACTTTTTGATCTCAACTCAGCCTGACTATCATGGTCCTTGCGGTGTGAAAATTGCATGCGCATAACATACGATGCTGGCTTAGTTGAAAATGTGTTTTTAGATGAAAAAGCAGCTGCATAAATAATGAATGAAATATTTTCATTGCCGATGTGAATTCTTTAGATGGATTGCGTGAGGATGGTTCTGCTTCAGAAGAATTCTCCATAAAATGCATGGAAATTACACCAAGGGCCAGTGTGTGGCTCCGTGGCTTAGGCTTCTATACCCATGCTCATTCAAGGTCTGAAGGCTTGAATCCCATGCTCAGCAGAAGAATCACATATCCATTAGGTCCTTGAGCAAGGCCTTTAAACAGCCTTTAAACAGGTTCACTGGATGATTAGCTGACCCTATACTCAGATCTAAGTATCATTTTCACCGTTATATATGTGTGTGTGACAGCAAAATGGTATATGCAAATAAACATAAATATACCTCTACTTATACAAATGGCAAATGAAACTTCCTTATATTTCACCTTATATGACATACTGCTCCAAAGAGAAAGCAGTTCCCTCTTTTGTTTAATTCTTTTTTAATATTCAGCATGACAAACCTTTAAAAGATGTATCCATTAAATGTCACATACATCACATATTAGCTTTTTATTATATTATACAGTATATTACTTGTCAAAGGTACAATCTTATCTTAATCATATTTATCAAAGGTACAAGTATATAGGAAACAAAATTTAAAAAAAGAAAACTATTTACAGATAGGGAGTGATTTTTTCCTTACAAGATAACCATTAATTTGTAAAAATAAAAATTCAGGGCTATGGGGTGCTACGTAATTAATCCTTTTTACCCGGTGTGAAACAAATTGTTCTAATTTATGGCTAGCAAATGCTGTTACGCTCTCCATTTTGTAAGTGTCCATTGTAATTTCCATCCATGAATTTAAAGTTGGACTCTCATGTGATAACCATTTCCTTGTAAGTGTTTTTTTAACCAGCAATCAATAATATATTCATTAAATATTTATCTCCTTTCAACCATTTTTGAAGAATATATGCAAAATATATGGTCTCGTAGTCGAAGAGAAATTCCATCCTCAGCAAATGCACCACTTTAAGGAAGTTGGCAAGACATTGATTCTACAAGGAAGGACGGGCAGGGGTAGAAAGTCCCCCTCTCTGTGTCAGGTGTCTACACGCCCCAGTTGCAAGGTTTATTTGTGTTAAGGCATCTTTCACATTCACATCCCGGCAAAACAACTCTCTGGTAAGGACGATGGACCACGCAGCCGGTGATGACAAGAGCCCTGAGGACGGGAATTGTCCAATATGCCAGGAAAAATATAAGAACCCTAAGTCCTTTCAGTCTTGCGGACACACGTAAGTGAAAACTGATTCTAAGTCAGTGATCTTCTAATGCTGTGCAAATACTTAGGACAGACATTGATCCAGTATAGGAGCCCATCCACAATACCTAAAGTTGTGTATTTCAAAGACTATCTGTAGGTGGAAAAAAAACTTTATAGGAATTATTGTGATTTATAGAAAATATGATTATCATGGGGATCTTGCATAAAATGTGCTCTTGAGGACATGCTACCTTAGTGTTGCGCTTAAGAAAAAAGGCCGAGATGAATTAATAATAAATACTGAAGTTAAAAGTGAAACCGAAAGTGATACATTCGACAGCTGTTCAGACAGCTGACTCCATGAAGGATCGTTTTTCACTCCCGTGGAGGCGTTAACTCTTTGTTCACATCTATATCACTCGAATGGAAGACTGCGCTGCTCTGCCATTACTACTGTATATAAAATCGCTTTGTAACAAGATTTGAACCCCGTGAGCCAATTTTATAGGTGTATTAACAAAAAAAAAAAAATCTATATTGCACCGACAAGATCTCACCCAGCAAAAAGTTGTTTAAAAAATGTTGAATAGACGACTTTGTCAGACGTCTCGAAGACGTTGAGATTTGGTTGAAAAGTGAAAGGTAAAAAGCCGTCTTTTCCGGTTGTTTAAAGACGTATATAGAGACGTCCCTTTAACGATCTAGGTCGCATAGTTAACCATTAGTTTATTATTACTGCAATACACGGATACTGTAGTGTACTCGTATCTACAGGAAAAACGATGCAATACTATAGCAAGCACCATATATAACTCGTCTTATAACACTACATCGACGGAGGCTAAATGATTAGCAAATAAGCAGGACAGCGTTGGCCAGGGTGAAAACAGACATAACCGAGTTAGCGACGGGGTGGACAGGCTACTCAGATTTGGCACGGAATTTAGAATTTTTGAGGGATTTAAAAAATCCCTCTTAATTCTTTGGCACGCATGTACATTTTAAAAACAGAGCCACAAAAAACACCGTCTACCTATGTGTCCGTGGCCAGATCCAGTTTCCTATGTGCTGTATAGCTAGTCATAGCCCTAGCATTAGTTGCCGACATGAACAGCTTACCTTGCAACTGCTTAGCTCGACTAGGCTTCGGCCAAAAACACCTTTCTGTGTTATAAGTGATAATTTATAATGGTAAATAATAATTACTTACCCCGTTCAATATATGCCCCTCAACATCCATCCTTCCACTACTCCCGTCCGCTTGGAAGCGTTTTGACTTTGAATTTTTCAGTGACCAATCACAGTCACGCTCGTGTGTGAGCGCGCGAGCACGATGGGTGCCGTGAAGGTGCAGAAGAATATTCTTATAAACCTGGTTCATACTTAATACGTTCAGCATGCAAAGATGTCAAACGTGCAGGAATTTTATACACATATATAACAACTTTATTAAACAATACATGTACAGCACACATCATGGCGTAGAAACAAGTAGCAACTGTACAAGACCATCAAAGGTCAATAAAGGTACAAATGGCAGAAATATAAAATAAACTAACATAAAATAAACCAACATAAGAGCACATAAGCGCAAAGCATGACAGTTTAAAAAGCAAGGAGCTACATTTACAAGAATATATCTTTTGAGCTTTTAAAAGAGTGTTCCCTTTCCACTTACAAGAGTGAATATGGTATTTACCCAGAATAATAATGAGATTAACAGTGTCAGAGATATTAATATCCAACCCACCCATATAGTAAATGATGTCATTATAAGTGAACATGGACGTGTTGTCAATTTTGAGAGAAAGCCAATTGTAAATGTCTGACCAAGACAAAAAAAGGCAGTTAAACAGATGATCGATAATTTCATTTTCAGAAGAACAAAAAGTGCATGGGTCAACCTCAAATTTAAATCTCTCCAACGTGGAGGAGTTGATAAGCATAAATGAGGAACTACAAAAATGTACGATTCCCCACGATAAGACAGTAAAAGAAAGGACAGGTGCAACTGTGACCTCTGTAGGGGAGATGCCTGCGGTGACGTCAGACCTGCTGCGGACCGTGGTACCGCATGGGTTTCCATAAGGCGCCCCCTGGTGGGCAATGGCAAAAATGCATGTCTATGAAGCTAATCATTTTCTCTTTCTTAGTTATAGCCACTAGTTGCTGGAGTGAAGTTGCACGATTGTACCTTTTCGACGGAACTGCTCTTTAATATAAAATTGATTATATTCAACAACGTACAGGATTTGGGTGAAGTGTACACAACACTCAACAGGATAATTTCCCACTTAATGCAATATATTTTCGTGGCTGTATTAAGACTATATGTGGTCCAAAATACACGTCCGCCTTGGGCTAAATGTGGACCAAATCAGACGGACTTAACCCAGCCACATTTTCACATTTTTGGTCTAAATAAAGGCTATAACGGGCCGACCAGATTCAACCGAAAAAGCAACGTCCCATGCTCGGTGGGAACTGAAAGTACAAAAAAGTCACAAATACAATAAAATGATAATCGTCAAAATATCGCAGCATAATTGTGACAAAGGATTTCACTTCCAGTTGTCATTCTGTGTCTATTTTAACTTATTTTTAACCGTTACAGATTGTGTGATCATTGCCTGCAAAAAGCACCGGACAAGCGCAGCAACTGCGACCTCTATAGGGGAGACGCCTGCGGCGACATCAGACCTGCTGTGTACCGTACTACCGCAAAGGTTGCCATGGTGGACAACGGCAGAAATGCGTGTCTAAGAAGCTAACCATTGTTTCTTACAGTAATCGATGCAATCAAAAAATGACTAAATAGTTTTAGGGTGACAGCGAATGTGGGTTCAGCTTAACACAGACTGTGTAGGTGGATTAACAATCAGTATTAAAGAAACTGTGGTTATCGTGACTTAGACTGTATGATAATTATGACTGAGACTGTTCATGACCAATTTGACATAAACTACATGTGTTGAGTTTAAAACAGACCGTATGTTGTCAGTGTGACAGATTGTGTAGTCAGTGTGATAGAAATGTGTGCTCGTCTGGGACCTCATTTCACGCTTTGTTGCGCCTCCTCTTAAGGCTCAGGACAGAAAGACATCGAGATTGGTTCAAAGACACCTCTCACGGCTACAGTTAGACAGCAGTCAGAGGTGAGCCTGGAAGCAAGACGCAACATAAAAAGAGGCCTTTTGGTCTTAGTGCTCCTGGGATTACCCATAATGCTTTGTGGTCTAACATGCCTGAAACCTCCACTGCTAAAGTTAAAGCAGGCAACACCTAAAAGCAACATTTAATTTACCAGTCAAGAAGTTACAATAATGATATTAAGGGTGCTGGTGGAATCTGTAATGGTATCCTCACTATTTATTGTGGCATAATTGCTTTTTGACCCTGTTCTTTCAGCACGGTGGCCCAGGGACATTGGGATGTTGGGCCTGATGATGGAAGCCGACCTACATCAAACCCACCCAACACGCCCAACCCTGTTCCTTCTGGGCCAGCTGCTGGACAGTCCTCCCCCCAGGAGCAAGACAACCTACAGAACCAGGCTCAGGCACCAGCTGCAGATGGCAATAAGTAAGCAAACTCACTCACAAGGCGAGGTGAACTAGGGCAAGGTGAAAGGAATCGTTCCAAACCAGATACATGTTCCTTGTAACTTTGCGTCGCTGTTTACCTATATGATTCACAAGCCCATACTGTGGGTCTCGATATGTTTCAACACAGGCATCTATGGGAAGTGCTGGAAATGATAGATTTACTGTCTGACAAGTAAGAAGGCAGATAAGTACCATCAACCCCAAATGTCCTTATATTCGCTCTCTGTGGGTCAGGATTTTCAGGCTTGAGAGATTTGGTCCTTATGACCAGTGCAAGCAGCAGATGAAGGTCCTGTAAGCACAGAAGTTAAGGCCTTAGGTGTTGAGTTATTGACTGCAGGCGAACGCTCCTTACCCTTCTGGTGTGGTGCCACCTCTCCAGTCCCCTAACATCCTGCGGGATGGTGTTCAGCTGTCCGTACTGTCAGGATGGTGGTCTTGATGAACTGGACTTACTGGACCACTGTAACACAAACCACAGGCATGAACGGAGACCTATGGTAAGTAACATTAATTACCGTGCTGATAAGGATTGTCAGACTGCATAACTGTACTTTGTGCTCTCAGATCATTAGAAGGCCCATAAAATGGAATCCAAGCACTCCTTCAGAGCCCTTATTCTGCTCCTCGCTCTCTGTTCTGTGTAGGTGTGTCCCATATGTGTGGCTCTACCACACGGAGATCCCTCTTACTATAGCAGAGATTTGATTGGCCATCTCAACTTCAGACACTGCTTCTACATCTCCGACTACATGGTGAGACGCCGCCGATCCACCCTTTCAGCTTTTAAATGTTCTACGAAATGCCCGATGTTTCAGTTTCCCACGACGACGACAATCTTTCCCCCGGCAGAAGAATGGCTTGTGTTATAATCTTAAATGAAATAATAATACTACAGTTAAATGCTTTGGGTTTGTATTTCACAGAATGTCGATCAAACGGATGAAATGAACCGTCAGGCCGGACTCCTGGAATCATACAAGCAGTGGAGAAAAAGTCAGCAATGAACATCCATGAGCAAGTTTTTGTTAAACAGCCTGGAGTGTTCATTCTTAACAAAGGGTTCCATGGAATGATAACAGAATGGAAATCACAGAGAAGTTCATTGCCCACTTGATATATACATCATTGTAACACACAATATACATGAATACAGAGCTCCATTGGGACGATGAACACAGCAGGTTTTAAGAAGCACAAACATTAATGACTTAATTATTCTGTTTAAACTATTACTAGATTATTACTCATCAGATAAGCTGTTTTTTCTTCACGAAAGCTCTTGCTCTATCTGATTTTCATTAATGAGATGTTTAAGGAGAGTGAGAAACAAAGGTTGTTTCCTTAAAATGGTGGCATTTGAGTGCATAAAATTATTAAATTCTAAATTATTTGTCGGTACCTTTTCATCTTTCTTGCCTTGTTGTCCAAACAAAAAAAATGAAAGGAAAAGCCAGGATCTCATTAGACATGAAAGGATTTTACAGTGATAATTTTTAATTCAGTGTAATTGCGCTAATCACACACTGGGCTGAAGCTCCATTGACACCTCGCAAGTGCTTGTGCCAATTATATTAATATTCATGTGACCTTACATGTACAGAAGAGTGAGTCTCACACAGAACAGGAATCTGATCTGAACCTAAGAGGTGTGATGCAACACCACTAACTAACAATGCAAATGTTAAATTAAGGTTCTGTATTTATTTTTCTTATTTGGCTTAATGCAGGGGGGGGGACATTCCCTACTAGATGTTTATATAATCCAAGCTTACCCCTTTATTATCTTTTAAATGTGATTTTAATGTATTTTATTTTAATGTATCCCATTGCCTTTGTAAAGCACTTTGAATTGCCTTGCGTCTGAATGGGGTTGTATAAATAAAGTTTCCTTGCCTTACCCTACACGACTACATATCCTCAGTACCTTAACTGAAAAGATAGCTCCCAAACAAACTCCCTATACTTTAAAAATGAGAGAGACTGCACCAATTTACAGAAAATCGAGTCCCGGGGTCCCCCTCTGCCAGATGGAAGGTGGTCTGGTCTGCCCTCTGTGCTGGCAGACTAACAGTTAATGTGGATCGATTTATCCCATATACACTTTTATGACTACATCAATCATTGACGCATCGTTATGTGATCCTTATCTATGAACGTGGTGTGAGCATAACAGTTTTCTGCAACACAGGTATTTTTGTAAGACAAACGGTAGCCAGCCTTGGTACAGTAGATCCACACCTAAGAGGATTCCTGTTCGGTCGCACTTCGGACAAACAACTGCTAAAGGACTGGGGCTCTGGGAGCCAGAAGGGAGAACTAATTAACATGGCTTTGGGTGGGATTCCTTTAATTCTGAGTGTCCTTTGCCTTCAGGTTGCGTGTCTGGTAAGCTTCTGATTGTAACGGCTTATATCCAATGAAAAAAAATCACTGCCATGTTCATCACATACCACAATAATCACATCTACATGCTCGATTTGGACTTGTGTCCTAACAGTTATTCATTTGTCATTATTTTGCATAAATTTTTATTTCCTTTTGAACCAGCCAACGTCCAAAGTCATTGGTGAGTTCTGTTGAGTTTCATTTCAGTATTTCATGGTGAAAGGCATGCTCAGTGACTGAAATCTCACTGGTGTAAACCAGTGTTTCCCAACCAGTCCTAGGGGACCCCCAGACAGTCGACGTTTTTACTTTTGGAGCAAAAATGTGGACTGTTTGGCAGGGAGCAGGGAGGGAGCAAAAACATGGACTGTTCAGGGTTCCCTGAGGAATGGGTTGGGAAATACTGGTATAAGCCATAACATTCAGGAGGATGTGCTCAGTCTCAATGCCAATTAAAATTCTATGGTCTTTCAGAGCTCGACGTGGATGGTGGAAAAGATAGAGACATTTTTGACATCAATGCAGGTTGGTCAACAAATCAGTTTTTCCAAGGCTAGGGTTTTGTTTTAACCAATCAGTTGAGTATTCTTTGACTGTGACTCTTTATACTCAACTGGTTGGTTGAAACAAAATCTTGGTCTGGATTGTTACTTTCTGGACCTGAACTATACACTTCTGAGTTTCTCTAAAACAAACGAGAAATGGAACAGCAAGCCTTCTTGGTAAAAGAGTTTCACTTTGCCTTCACAGAGGCCGGACTCAATCTTACTGAAGGTGACATCGTGTTCGATCCAGTAAGTTTTGAGTGCTCTTTGCAATTCATTAGTTTGCTCATTAATCCATCCATCTATCTATCTATCCATCTATCTATCCATCCATCTCCCACTAATCGATAAAAATGTTGCAGTGAACCTTGAGCCTAACCCTACAGTGAACAGGATACCAGTCCGCTATAGGACATTTGGTACCAATCACAAACATACGTTAAAGACAATTTAAACACAGCAGTGTCTCACTGCATGTTTCTGGAGTATGGGAACGATACCAGAGGACCTGGAGAAAACCTGGAAAATAGGGTGGATAAAATGCAAATATTAATACGAATATTTAATATGAATATTAAAATACCGATTGACATGTTTTGACGTGCCAACAACATGCCAAGCATGGCTATCATTATATGTATCATATAGGGTGAGTGTGTCATCTGCATAAAAAAGAAAAAAAATCCAGCAATGCAGCAGTTCATGCAGACGACAGTGACATGCTAACAGATCATTGCTAATTGATGCAGAAGCAAGGGAGGAATTCCATTCTGGGAGATGAATACCGGTGGCCAAAGACGATTCCATACTACCTGGAAGACAGCTTAGGTAAGAAAGCTTGTGCTCATGCTGTGAGCCACAGAGGCCTTGGATATCAGATCTGCACTTCTTTTCCGTTTCGAACCTAAGAATGATTATAGCTCCAAAGGTCTTAAGGAATAGAAGCCTTAACTGATTTATGCAATATTCTTTGATAACACGGTGCTCAGTCAAACCCGGTTATGACAGCAGATTACACGGCACCCTCCACTTTCTCTGTCCCTGTTATAGAAATCAACGCCAAAGGAGTGATTCTGAAGGCCTTTGATCAGTATCGGCTGAAAACCTGCATTGATTTCAAACCTTGGGAAGGAGAGCCTAATTATATTTCTGTATTTAAAGGAAACGGGTAAGTATCTAAAATACATGTTCTGGCGTGGGGGTTATGATTTTAAGAGTGAACTGAGCACCAGTTTAGGGGAGAATGGAGTGTGTCGCAGATCAATATGTATCAGCATAGAGTTTTCAATGCTCCAGTGACACCATCTGCCATCTGTTAGCACGTTAACCCATGAGTCAGCACCATGACGGAAGCCGGAGTGACTTAAAAACGGCGCAGTGAGTTTCCCCCGAATCCCAGCGGGGCCTCTTCGCTCGCCTCCACTCCTCTCTGCCGCGCAGGTGCTTCTCGTCCATCGGCAACCGGCGCGTCGGGAAGCAGCAGCTGTCGATCGGGTCCAACTGCGACCGCATCGGGACGATCGAGCACGAGTTCCTGCACGCGCTGGGCTTCTGGCATGAGCAGTCCAGAGCTGACCGCGACGACTACGTGGCCATCATGTGGGATTACATCCAAGCGGGTGACTTGATCACCGGCGAGACGCACATGCTTAGCTTGAGAAACAACATTCCCCTCGGCGTGAGTTTAATGCCCAGCAGCAGCTACAATACCCCAAAGCCCGTCTCCGACTCACAACCCATGCAACTTACAACAACTTATACATACAACCAAATATTAATGCTTGTAAGAATACATTTTTGGACTGTATCCAGATGTAGCCACTGGGAATGCCTCTCCACCAGTCTGGATGGAGTTTCCGCAAGTTCTGGACACAAGCTGACTACCTTGATCTTAGTCTGCTATTCAGCTCGTCCCAAAGGAGCTCTATAGGGTTTAGGTCAAGGGACTGCGAGGATTCATGCTGTGTCTAATGATTTTCAGTAGATGTGCCCAAACTGTTGACTAGTTCCGTACATCCATTTCAACGTGTCGCTTGTCTGTCGGAATGGAACCCGGTTGTACAGTAAGTCGGAGACAGTCTGCAATACATTTAAACTCCAGACAGACAGCAAACCATCGTAACACCGAAATCAAAGCAACACTTCAATGAACCTACCAACCAGTGTGTGTAATACTCACTGCCAAAATATCGGTCAGCTCAAACACGACTGATCAGGGCCCCTCTGATTTAATTTATGAAACGCTTACTCTCCGTAAATCACAGTAATGTCTGACTGGATAGACACAGCTTCCCCAAAGAAAAAATTTGTGTAAGGTAAACTTTGATATTGTATACACATCACCTCCTAGGCTTCCCAGTTACTCCTCCAGTATGAGTATCACATCACAAAGGCTACAAACGACAAAACGCCGACTAACTGCTGCTTCCCGACTCCAGGCAAGGAGCATAACTTCAACACATACAACGACACTGTCTCCAGTGACCTTAATGTGCCCTATGACTACACCTCGGTGATGCACTACGGCAAGACGGCCTTCCAGAATGGCTCCCAGTCCACCATCATAACCAAGATCCCGGCGTTCGCTGATGTCATCGGCCAGCGGATGGAGTTCAGTGACAGCGACCTGCTGAAGCTCAATCGGCTGTACAACTGCAGTAAGGCTACTAAGGCGCATGGCGAGGCCCATAATCAGAACGTAGGCAACCATGGAGAGTCAAATCCTTTTTAAACGAGAACATAGACTCTCCCTTTGGGAAATAAGAGCCCGTGAAAGGACAGGACAGGGACAGGGACAGTATGATGCAAAATTAGGGCGCTGGTGAACAAGGAAAAAAATAAAATTGCTTCAGGAAAAAAAAAATGGAACCAAATTAACAAATGGCAGGTCGAAGGACTGACATTAACACTGGGGTCAGGTGACAGGAAGTGAAACAAAACAGAGTAAAACAATACACACAAACCCATGCAGATCAGGAGCAGGAGACACAAATTAATGCAGATAATGCTGTACCACAGGTACAGGCAGACCTCACAGCATGGAGGACAGAGTCCATCACCAGTGCAACTTCGAGCCAGAGCCTGCAATAGTGCCCAAGCTTGTCTATTAATGATAAACAGTGACAAACACTGAGAAAAGGCTGAACAGCTGGAAGAACTTGCTGTATTGACATATGTCCAAAGAGTAATCCCAGTGCTACTATACCTGTGCTTTAAGCTACATCATCAACGTTCCTGGATACCTGCAGCTTTGAGCTAGAGAACATCTGCGGAATGATACAAGATCCAGAAGCCAGCACTGTCTGGACGCGTGAAACCAAGGTACCAGGAGGTCCATCCACAGACTTCTCCAACATGGGGCAGTGCACAGGTGGGAACGTATGCTATTGGACATCTGACCAGTGCATACAGCTCTCAGAGTCTTTTCTTCTGGAATGGGTTCTTGTGACATAGACCTGTGCACCATGTTTCTAGGTGCAGGGTACTTCATGCACTTCAGCACAGCCAGCGGCAAGGCGGGGGACACGGCGCTGCTGGAGACCAGGCTTCTCTACCCCAAGCACAGCCAACAGTGCCTTCAGTTCTTCTATTACCACAGCGGAGACACCAGCGATGGCCTGAAGGTCTGGGTCCGCGAGTACGACAAGATCAACCCCAACGGAACACTAAGGCTCATCCAGCAGATCCCAGGTGAGTAAGACAAGGCCGACCCCAACGGAACACTAAGGCTCATCCAGCAGATCCCAGGTGAGTAAGACAAGGCCGACCCCAACGGAACACTAGGGCTCAACCAGATCAGAGATGAAGTTTGCAGAAACACCATGGAGACACATTGACCGCACCTTTATTCTGCATCCTGTAGCAGATTACAGCACTGGCTAACGATTCGATATCCTTGAGGTAGTTATACCATATTGATGATAGTCTAATGGTCGATTTTGGTGGATCAGCTAGGTAATCACTATTTTCCCCATCCTTAATGTTGACATTCTGGTCAGGTGACCCACAGGATCTGTGGCAGATCCATCACGTGAGTCTGAACGTAACCAAGAAGTTCCGAGTGGTCTTTGAGGGTGTGAAAGGGGAAGGGTCTCCATCGGGAGGCATTTCCATCGATGACATCAACCTCTCTGAGACAAAATGTCCGGAACACGTGTGGCGCGTCCGAAACTTCAGCCAGCTCATGGACACTACGCCCATCCATAGGAAAGAGTGTAGTCCCCGTTTCCTCTCCAAAGAGGGCTACACCTTCCAGGTTTGCCTGCTCCCCAACAGTACGTTTCAGAGCCCTGAGCAGCTGGGAATCTACCTGCACCTCACCTCCGGGGAGCGTGACAATGAACTCAAGTGGCCCTGCCCATGGAAGCAGGGCACCATGATGCTTATGGACCAAAGCTCCGACATCCGGCGCCGAATGTCCAGCCAGAGGAGTATCACCACTGACCCCAACGAAACCAAGTTGAACGGTCAGTAGCCATAGAAGCTAACACAACTAAGTATGGTGTAGTATGAGAAGCCAAGTAATTCCATATTACATTACGTCATACACCACTGTTTGCCAATTCCGGTCCCAGAGGGCCAGTCTGCAACACAGTTTGCACAGGTCCCTGCTCAAGCACGTCTACTAAACCTGGCAATTAGCTGGTGAACAGAAAAAGATGCGTTTGAGCAGGTAAATATGCAAACTGTGGTGCAGACTGGCTCCCCAGGACTGAAACTGAGGAATCCTGCCATATATAGTTCATTCTTAAATTATATATTCTATATACATAGTGTACTGCTGCTCAATGCTAATCTTATAAATGTTCACAAATAGTAATGAATAATTGACTGACACTTTTCTAATATAAGTTCCAATACAGTGTTTCATGTAACTATCCGAAAGAATTTAATGCAGACTAAACACAATGGAATTAAAAGTAATGCATCATATTCTGCAACACAGCAAAAGCTAATATAAGGTTCAAAAATCTGCATTCATTTATGCAAAGCATTCACCCTTCAGAGAGTGGCGACCTTGTGTTCTTTTGGGATGACCCTGCAAAGGTGGGAGTTCTGGTCAATGATGCAGATGGAAGTACATATAACCAGGGTCCAGGCTTGGGAACCAGTACGTTCCTGACTCATGACAGGGCGAGGAGCAGAAACTTCATCAAGGGTGGTGATGCCTTTTTCCTACTCACATTCGAAGGTAGGTATCATCAAACGCTACTATTCTCAGCTTAAAGCATAAAACTTCAGACTGCAAATCAAAACTACTTGAATGAGAAACACCAGCATTCCCGTCCGTGAATCCTGCCGGCGTCAACTTCGAGATCGGTCTGCTCTGCTGCATTCAAGCCACATACGGATCATCTAATTGACCGTCCTTTTCCATTCAAGATGTGTCAGATCTCCTGGTATCCCAGCCGTCGCCACCGAGCACCCAACCAACTCCAACCCAAAATTCAACTTCAAGCTCAACTCTAAGTTCAACCGAAAGTTCCACCCGAACAACCCCAAGTTCCAATGACCCCTGCTCAGAAGTCCATTGTGAGCATGATGGCGTCTGCGTGCTGGAGAACGAGGTGGCGGTCTGCAGGTAAAGCTCTCCTGCAGACATATTTTTATATGTAGATGGAACTGAAAACAAAAGCTAGCTTCACCACACGAGGAGCTCTCTGCTTCTGCTAATGAAGACAGACGGCATACGAGGGTCTTTCCCCCCACTGTGAATGATTAAAACTTCAGCTCCAGGGATGAAGGTACAGCGAGACGTCCAAGATTTACCCACCTCTCTGCGCTTGACGGCACTGCGCCTCTGTGCCCCTGCAGGTGTGCCGTTGGGGACGACTGGTGGTACACCGGCGACAGGTGCCAGAGGAAAGGCTCGGCGCGGGACGCCACGGTGACAGCGGTGGGGGCATCCATGGGTGTTCTGGCCGGCATGCTGGTCATCACCGGCGTGAGCGTGATGTGCGTCAGGAAGAAGTACAAGAAGCAGCTGGACAAACGCAATCCAGCTATTACACTGGAAGATGTGAGTATTTGGAGCTAAATTCCTAAATCCCTGCCGGTTTGGAGCAGAAACGTTAAAAGAGTCCAGGAACTCAAACTCTCTATTAAAGTAAGGAGAGACATACAGGGCTAAGATACATACAGAAACGTATCCTACACTCTAATATGAAGACTGTGAGCTTCTCCCAAGGACGATATACGTCTTTATAATATTAATATTCCATTAGTGGATCTTCAAAGATTCTGCCGTAGATCAGGAGGGCTGAAAATGATTTATGAAATGCTACCCAACACTAAGTGTTGAGGTTGTAGTGATGTATTGTCTGCCTTGTGGTGCTCGGGAGAAAAGCATATATTAAATACATTTATGTAAAACTGACATGAAGGTGCATCCAATATATTCTGCAAATCCTACAATATGCTGTAATTCTCATATTAATATAAAGCAATTCTATTATTTATCACTAGTACATACAGAACTTGAAAGCAGTTTAAGGGTCTGCTGAAGAGCAGACTGGCTGACTAATGCTCACTTAATTAAACAGAAACACGCTGCATTTCCAAGACAGTTATTCTAACGGTCCTGTTTCCTGGTATCGTCGTTCTAACACTTACACCTTTTCTTAATGTCTTTCAGAGATTCTGACAGCTGATCTGATCCTTCTCAAGTTCTGGATGGCTGGGGGGGATGTGATGCATTTGCACCACGAGATTTTAATGAAGCCTAAAATGTTTAAGGAAAATTCATGCTGTGGGGGAGATGTCATTGTCATCACTGGAATGATGAACAAAATCACTGCATATTTATAATAAACCAATGTTTCCAAAAAGTAAGCAAATGAAATGTCTTTATATAAACCAAAAGGTCACTTTCACTGGTTGTTTGGATATATATCATGAATAACATAATAAAAATAAAGAATAAAATATTTTATCTGTGTATCAGACAAACAGTGTGTGCACGGTATTAGCTACGTTTCTACACAAATCACAAATCTGCTAGGACTGGAGTAGAAGATTTTATCACATGCATTGTTCATTGATGCTACAAAAATGTGGGTTACAATTACACTATGTGCTGCTTGAGTCAGATAACAAATCTGCTAATTATCTGAGAGGGACTAAATTAACTAATGGGAAGAATTTATATATTTACCCGTGAATATTTATTGGTAGATTAATTATCTTCAGGGCGCTGGACCGTCTCCCAAGCATGAAGGGGCAACAAGCAGGGCTACACGATGGAGATGCCAGATTATCGCAGAGCGAGCGAGCGAGCGAACACACACACACACACACACACACACAGGAAGTGTAGCTCATCTCATGTGTTTGGATTACGGACTACAGTACGAAACAAGGTTACCCAGAAGAGACCTGTACCACGTGGGGAGAAGACGCAGACTCCACACGAGGGGGGAAATACTGCCAAACATTCTGCCCTTCTATTGGTTGAAATAATTATTTTGTAGAAGAGTGGCTCTTTGGCTCCACCGTATGGCAAAACCTGCGATTTGCCGGGCCGTGAAAATCATTACATAAGAACAACTACAACTGAAGCGCCGTATACATCTTAATAAAATGGTAATTAAATGGAAATATAGTCTTAGTTCCTCGAACCCATAAGAAATTTTGATTCACTTACCGCTAGGTATTGAACTAACTGTAAAAATGAAGTTTTTAGAATGCACCAAATATGTCAAATATGAAACATTTTCGTCGAATGTGCTGCACGGTTTCCCCATCCTTATACATCGATGACATATTAACCATTTCTTTAACTACTTTTAAGCTCCGATCCGAGAAGTGATGACTTGATGAGAGGCTGCAGAGCTCCACCGCGTTGCAGGTTTACGTTTGCTATCAGGCTGCGGCAACGTTAGCAGCTACCAAATATAGCAAAAGCGAAAGCGGGGCCGCTGTAACTTTTTAAGCAGCGGTCAGGGATGCATCCCGGCGCAGGCTGCGCACTCCAGGGAGGCGAAGCTCTACCACTTTGAGCCCCACTTTCGTGTCCTCCGCGGGGGAGGCGTTTCACCGCGGCAGACGGCGGCCAGGTAGATCCAGGTCGAACATTTAAAGGATATTAACGTGACCTGCTGTCAGCCGCAGTACCGATCCAAACTGATGAGGCGCCCTAGGCGAGAATCACCGGCAGCGCCCCTGTTAAAGGCAAAGTGGAACAGGCTGGCAAGTCAGCGCCTCCTCGGAAGTTTGCGCATCAGGCGGCCCCTTACATCGCCTATAAGATTAACCAGCCCTGGTCAGTTGTATAACCTATACTCATTGATTCAGTATAGCGGAATCTATATTTTTCGGTTTCTGTCTTCATGTTTCGCTTTATCTTCATGTCTTTAGTACCTGCGACGCTCACGCAATCCAAACCACTGACGACACAGACCTTGTACATATTCGGATAATAACATAAAACAGATGGATGATGATTTGATTGTGCCTTGCGATGCCTGGGATAGGCTCCATGACTAAAATAACGTTCATTCACCCCCTGCTCCCCATGACATCCCCGCCCAGGTGATTACAGATAGAGTTTATCACCACAACGCCGATCCAGCCCGGCTGTGCAGATACAGAAAAGTGATAAAAGCATCACGTCGCGTTAACACATCGCCGTGTTGTTGCACTTAGGATAAAATCTATAGAGCATATTAAACCGCTTTCCGAAGCAGCAGATGAAGCAGTATTAATCGTATTAAATTAAACATTACTAAATATATTTTACTTGATATGGCGAATAGACGCATTCCAATGCACCTGCACTTGTGAAAACTGCAAATAAAGTATTTATATATTTACTAAGAGACGCCCCTTAAACTACACATGCAGCTCTGGACCGATACCACATGAGAGTTCAACGCCATCCGTGGACATTCTCTCTTTTTTCTCGGGAATAGTAATTAATTTGCGGAACATGGAAAACATCTTTGCACAGCAGCGTTTTGTTGTGGGGGTTTTGGGATGAAGTCACCTTCGCGAGGCACGTGTCAAACCAGGCGCGAGCCGCTAGGGACGTCAGCTGACGCCCTGCACGCGCTCGCAGCGTAGATGCAGCGCTGTCAGCCAAAGGTCCCCCCGGGACCCGCTGTCCTGGAAATAAGTCCAGACACGGTGTCATTACTGTATTTGAAAATTTTAGGTTTATTATAACAAAAAAAGGGAGAACCGGTGTGCGCATGTGAGTGTGCCTTGCTTGTGGAGAAACTGCGCTTGCGCTGCGAGGCGGCCCCGGCGGTACGAAAGGCACAGCGCCGCTGCCGAACTCCGTCTGTCTGTCTGTGTGTGTGTCAGTAGAAGCTGTGGTTTCGCCTCTACATATTGAGTGCCACCTTTAAAACGACCCGAAGCCGCTCACCAAATACACAGTTCTTGTAGAAAGTCCCGTACACAACACGTAGCCTATTTATAA